TTCTGATCTGATTAATTATATAGCCTCCAGGGCATATGAACATGATTTAATCAATAGGCTAGATTGTGGTTTATCGTAATTGAATCATTTCGTAGGACAATTAATTAATTAGATTGTTTAATTGTTAATGTTTCATTTGTTGGCAACTCTTTTTGTTTAAATGTCAATGGTGAAAATGTCACAGGCTTAATTTCAAAGGTAAATAGATGAAATTTTGACCTTTCAACTTTTTCTGGCGGAAAAATTTAATAATTCATACGAGAAAAATTGATCATTTAAAATATTTAATTGGATTGATCAATTAATCATTTGATTCCATCATTAATTAATTGTTTCGTTTTCCTGTCAACTGTAAAGCGATCAACTAGATGGCGCTTCAGATGCAAGTTCTAAGAATAGTTCGATTTCAATGTAACTTTGTATGAATAGTTTTTCGAAATAGTAAAGTTGATGAATTAATGGACTAATTAGATAACTGATGGTTCGTTGTGACGAAAGTTATATAAGGTAGAATTATCGAATTTGTTATCGATCAACTTTCGAGTTTTGGTTTTGAGTTCAATTCGATCGAGATAGTTTATGTCATCAGGTTTTATTTAATTCCGAATAAATTATTACCATGGTTTTTGAATTTCTTCCTTTTCCGGTTTTTTTTCTATTTCAATTGAACACTCGAATATCCTAATTCCTATTTTGGTTGATCCCCCAGGAGAAAATGAAAAGTTGTTGAACTTGAAGATTTGTATCAAAATGTAGTTTATTGGAATTCTCGATGTTGAAGTGAGCGTACATCGAAATTGGATCTCTGTAGATGAATGGATTTCGTGAAAATGGCCAGAAGGTCATAAATCCTGTTCGAGGAACTTTGAGAGTACGAATTATCCTTTCATTTCATTAAAAGTTTGGATAAGTTTCCGGTTAAAAGGAAAAGGTCATGATGATGTTTGATCATCTTAAGTGATGTGAAAGGGAAGAGGTAGGAAGTTAATTCTGAGTCGGATCGGGTTCTGAGGGAGTAGAGGTTAATGTTCAGCTTCCGACGATAGAGACACATGAGAAGGAGAGACGAAAATGATGAAGATAAAAATCAATAACTTTACCTAAGGGAGAAAGTACGAGGAGACCGAGAGAAAAAAAGAAAGAGAGAGAGAGAGAGAGAGAGAGAGAGAAGGAGGAGTGAGAAGGATGAGAAAGAGAGTAAAGGAGTAAAAGAAAGGGAGATTTTTCAAGATCAAGGACGAAAGTGAAGTAGAAAGAGACAAAGGAAAGTAGATACAATCAGACAGAGAAACAGAGAAACAGAGAGAATGAGAGAGCGGAAGAGTGAGAGAGAATAAGAGAGTAACTGGAAGAGAAATGATGAGGATGAAATTCATCTGGTTTTTCGAATTTACTGTGAGGCGCTATTTTCATATTCGATTTTTTAGTTCGAGACGAATCAGAATAAACAACGAAAAGTATCTTTCGTCATTCCTTTTATCCTTTCACTCGCATCTTCATTCATCATCATCTTCATCGTTTCTTCTTCCTCTTCTTCCTCATCTTTTGATTACCTTTTTCCTAAAATCTCTGTTATATTTTCTCTCTCTCTCTCTTTGACTTAAAAGTTATTCTTTCATCTTCTTCATTATGGTGATAATGATGATGATATGATCTTAAATATTGTTATGACTCATCAATTGACCTTTTTTGTCTATTAACTAATATTAGAGTTTATTAGTTTGTTTTATTTGATGAAGATTAAGATGATGGATATGAGACGGAGAGAGGGAGAGAAGGAGAGAAGGAGAAGAAGAAGCAGAAGAGAGAGAAGGAGAGAAAAAGAGAGAAAGAATAAGAAGAAAGAAAAAAAGTAAAGTTGTCTGAGTGAAAAAGAAAGAAAAGAAAGAGAAGGTTGGGTGATAAATAGAAACACGCGTTTTCTTTTCTTTGTAATTAAATCTGATCAACTGATTTATTCTCGTAAATTAATTGATTAATCGCTTATTCTTTATCTGAATAATTGATTGGTGTCCATTTTATCTGATCAACTGAATCTCCACAAATGATAAAACCCTTTACAATAATCATATGTTTCTATCATTTCGTCATCATCATTATTATCAATTTCATCATTTGTCTCTCTCTTTCTTTCTCTTTCTTTCTCTTTCTCTTTCTCTTTAAAACCTGATTCTCTCACTCTCTCTCTCTTTTTTCTTCATCTTCATCTTCTTCTTCATCTTCATCTTCAAGGGCAGTCTTCATTTACCTTTTGTATCAAGTCAAGTATCGTAATGATGATGGAGATGAAGATGAAGATGAAGTTGCTCCTCATCCTCATCATCATCATACTTTTTTTTATCTTCTTCATCTTTATCCTCATAAAGATGATCTCAATAAGCAGCTGATTTTGATTCATTTGTTTTCATTTTCATCACCTTGTTGTTTTTCAGCCATTTAATAAACACCATCAACATCAAACGATACAGTTAATTGTTATTTTATATAACAGAACAAAAAACAAATCTTAAATTAACAATTAACAGCTAAACGGTGTTTAATATAATACTAATTAAACATTTAATCACAACATTTGATCAACAATTAACATCAACAACAAAATCGACCCAAAATTGAGCATAAAGGATACAAATCAAATACCTGTTGAGCTTTTTCGTTCAAATGTTGCTTATTAAATAATATCGATAACAATCAGCATAATTAGATGATTTTTATCAACAAACATTCAGTCAATCATCATAACAGTTGCGAGGTAAATCATCCATCACTTTTTCTCGTTAATAAATCATCAAAATTATTCAAAATTTGATCTCCATTCTGAGACAGATCAAATCGTATTATTATCGTTGATTAAGACACAAGTTGACAATCAGTCCCGTTAATTGCAGTGATCACACCATTAATTTGCGATTAACAATGAAGTCTATTGTTCACCCTTAAAACTATTCTTTAATCAGCCACAATCAGGGAACAAAATTCAACCTGAGTGCCAAAAATTTCTGAGACATTTTCATCATCCACTATCTTTGTGTCTTCTTTTTGGCAGAAATTCAGAGAGAGAGAGAGAGAGAGAGAGAGACTATTATCTTTTTCTTCTTCCCATCAGAGAGGGAAAAAGTTCTGACGAATTGTTCAGATCCAATCACTATCATGATTTCGAAAGGTTCGGAAAATAGTTTTCTCTCAAATTCGGTCACAATTAACTCAACAGTAAATAATCTGATTGTAAACAAAACTAGTTGATCGTAAAAACAGACTTCGAATTGATTTAGTTTGTACATAATTTTTTACTCTTTTCTACGTAAATTTCCACCCTGAACATCGTCATCATCTCGAGCCATTTCATTCTGATTTCTATCATAAACTCGATAAATGAATTGGTGTGAAGAAAAAAAGTTCTAATCATTGGTTAGTAACGTAATCGTAATAATCTAATCACTAATAAACTAATATCAGTTATTTAAATGGTTACAATCGAGACTAATCAATCTCTATATTTAGTAATAATTGATTCGTTATTAAACTCTCGAAGTTCAAGTTCAACGAATTTTAGTTTCCTCGACGAAAAAAACAGTTAGAACTCTCTCTCTCTCTCTCTCTCTTACTCATATTCGATGTCGATAACTAATATTATTAAGATATTCAGAGTTCTAACTCAAGTAATATAATAATATAATAAATTGTCATTATCATCATTTATTAATCTAATAATAGTTATTAACCATTGATATTGTTTGTCAATCTATTAATAGACAATTTAATCAATGTTAATGATGATTATCACTAATGATAATAATCAATTGATGACAGTTTAGTTTACATGGTTACCAATGTTGACATTACATAACCGATTTATCCAATTAATCAACAGGTATAACAATCAATTGACCAATCAAAGGCCATATAAATATATCAACAACAAAATTTGGTGAGTTAATTGTTGATCAACAAGCACGTTTAACTATAATCAATTAAACATCCCGATTAATTAAGATTAAGTAATTCAACTATCAATTAAATCACGTTTTTTTTATTTCTTTTCAAACAAAATACTTGGTAACATACAATTAATTACCAATGGATTTAATTTGATTGTTGATCTAATTGATTATGAAATTGTTTTTGTTTCTATTTTAATTATGAAACTATTTCCGGATAAATTGTATTAATAGATTTGATTGTAATCAATTTAAATTGACGTGATTATGGTTATTATTGGATAATACAGTTGATTGGGATCGGAAACTTATTGGTTATTTGATTGTTACTCAATGAATATCAATTAAAAATTAGTGGATAGGGTAAATTTGAGTCTCTGGTGAACAATTTAATTACTAAATTGTAATAATATTAATGTTATTTTACAATATTTAACGGTTTTCCTGTTACAGTCTCTCATCCATTTCTTTATCCCTTATCTTTATCCTTAATCCTAATCCTCATATTCATCATCTTTGTTTATCTGTGACTGGGTTAATGGATGAGATTTCATCTTTCACTTTTTATTATTCTTACTCATCTCATCATCATTATCATCATCATCATTCACAAGCATTGTCGTCATTTTTATCTATGTCCTCATCTTCATCTTCATCTTCATCATCTTATCAGTGTAAACCTGTGAACACATGATAATGTTAACACTTAATGTTGATGATGATGAAGATGATGCCAAGAATATTTGAGGAAAAAAGCCAAAAAAAATGTGAGAAATTCAGAGAAAGAAGAAAATTCTGAAGATGATGAAGATGATAAAGGATGATGAGAGAGAGAGAAAGATGATCTAATAATAAATAATTTGGATAATCTATTGTTAGCAATTACCTTTTCTATCTTCATCATCAATTGAACATTTTTCCTCATCACCAACAATCATCATCTCCCAATGCGTAACAATTATTATCATCACAATGGTTAATAATTATAAATAGATACAGTTATTTGTATTTGATTAATCATTCTAACTGTTAACCATCATAGAGATCAAATTGATTATTATTATTATTCAATCCAATGGGTTATATTAAAACATTGTTGTTCTTGTCAACAGATGATTTAATTGTCACGTGACAAGAAATAATTTTTTTCTTTTGTTTTTATCAATGAAAACAAGAAGCAGAGAAAATTGTGAAAATGATGATAAATGAAGATGAAGATGAAGGAAGAAAAGATGTTACAGAATTATCATCAGATGAGAAATTGTTACTCCAAAGTTTGGCGGAAATCGAAGTAAAAGAAACAGAGAGAAAGAGAGAATTAACAAAGAACGAAAAAAAAAGAACTAAAAGAAAAATCGATAATACGAATATCGATCGACGAAATACTAAAAGATGGAAAACCGAGAAGAAGAAACGAAAGAAAACGAAAAAGAAAGAAAAAAACAGAGAGAGAGAGAGACAGAGAAAAAGATGAAGATGAAGATGAACCAAGAGAAAGAGTAAAATTTGACTTGATGCCAAAAAAGAAAGAGAGAAAAGAAAGAGAAAAGATGAAGATAACTAACATGAAGAGCGCATGATAACTGGAGTAATAACGTCATTTTGACGTTGAATGAAATAGTAAAATAGTAGATTCTGATTGGATGAATTCTGGTTCCGGTGTACCTTAAAAGGAGATAAGTGGTCGTGGTTTTCATTCATGAAAATTTTCAGCCAACTCGTAACAACAACAACATTAGAAAGCAACATTTCCAGTGATCAACTTGATTTCAACTTTTTTGTTTCAGTTACAATGATAATCAACAACAATTTAACACCAACTGAGCAACTGAAGTTATTATATTTTACCATTGATTGTGAATCTTTGTTTCTTAATTGTTTCTTTTTAAATTGTTACCAATCATCTTCGTGTCTTATTAGTTAAAGTGTAACAATTGATTGTCACAAATTGTTGATTTTTTCTTCTCCTTCTTCATCATTAATTTAATTTTATCGATTTTACAATCTGTTGATTTAGTTGATCATCTTGTTAACAACAAGTTAGAACATTTTTTTCAATCACTTTGTCGTTGGTACGAAATTCATTCATGTTAATCAATTGATATTTTCACTATTTCACTCTTTCCCTGTCAAGTGCCAAGTTAATTAGTGACAATTTTAAAAGAAAATTAATTAATTGTTGTTTATAAATTGTTGTCATGTCAACATTAATTTTTAATTTCTCATCGTTTCATTTTCAATTTACTTAGTGGTTAATTGTTGTTTCAAATCTTATTATTGGTGATTTGGTCCAAAAAATTAGTAATTTTTAGATTGATTATCTAATTAATTGTTTTATTATTATCATCTGACATCATTGATCTGTCACAAGGCAAATATGATTATGGACGGTATCCTGTCTCAGGTCACTTTGTCCGTTGAGCCTCAAACATTTAGCTTCGATTCATATAAATTAAACCACGATTCGGATGAAAGTTCAACTGATTGTGATTTAAGTGAAGTTAGTTTATCAACAGTTATCTCACCTCCCCTTCTAGGGTCCAGTATTGTCACCCTTGTAACATCATCTTCATCTTCATCATCATCATCCTCATCACCTCCACTAGCCACAACAACAACTTCACTACAATCAGCTGATATACCACTTAATCAACTCTACCATCAACACAATCATCACCATCAACAACAACAACAACAACAACATCATCATCATCATCATAGACGACCAACATCAATTAGCTTAATTAATACTAAATCCTGTTCATCATCACCAATCACAATTATCTCAGATAATAGTAATAATACTAATCATCAACAATTAAAATCACAAGGTTCAATCGATGAACCGGCAACTGCCGAAGACACCAATCCAAATAGTCCCAATAGTTGTAGTGCAATCCACGAATCCAATTCAAGTGATACTAATCCTAATCCTAATCCAAATAGTAATAATATAATGGATGATCCAAATGAATCTCTTAATACTCCAATATCAACTTCCAATGGAGTCTCTGCCTTTTTCAGTTGTGTAGTAACTTCAATACCAGATCCACTTCCAATATCAGGTAATTTTGTGACACAACAATTGAGAAACAATTAAGACACAAATTTTAAATTTCCAACAATTTAAGTTCACTGACATTAAAATGAATGAAAGTCAATGGGAAAAAATAGTAATTCACTTTGAAAATTCAATCAATGAACATATGTTATCATGTTTATCATGCTGATGATTAAACCAGACTGATTAACGTCTGGGTTACTCATTACAATTACCATGATCATCGTTGATTATAATTATCATCAATGATGATTAACTGATAGTCCGTAATTGTAATATGAAACTTACAAGGAAAATTATTTGAATTATTAGTTACCTGTTGGTTTTCAATTGAGTGAAGATGAGAGAGTTGGAGGAGGGATGAGAGATGAAGATCAGGGGGTGGTATGAATCATGGACGATGGTCATGATAATTCAGTATTTCCCTTGGTATGGAGATGAAGTGAATTTCAATTCTTACTATTGGAATTTTTTTCCTTTTCTTTTGAAAATTTGGTTAAAGATTATAATGATTATCATGGAGATGAAGATGATCACCTAATGATTAAATACTGTTATTATTAGGATGATGACAATTTCCTCTGACTCTCTGTCATGAATCTTATCATCTTCATCTTATTCATTTTATTGAAATGAGAAAAAAAATAATTTTTCTTATTCGAGTAACTCGAGTTTCCGGTAAAAGGGAAAAGGGAAAAGGTCATGTCTGATTATCATGAAGAATGAGATGATAAGGAGTGAGTCTCAGGATAAGTTCTGAGTCAGATCGTGAATTTCATGAGGGAGTAGAGGTTAATGTTCAGCTTCCGACGATAGAGACACATGAGAAGGAGAGACGAAAATGATGAAGATAAAAATCAATAACTTTACCTAAGGGAGAAAGTACGAGGAGACCGAGAGAAAAAAAGAAAGAAAGAGAGAGAGAGAGAGAGAGAGAGAGAGAGAGAGAGGAGGGAGAAGGATAGAGAAAGAGAGTAAAGGAGTAAAAGAAAGGGAGATTTTTCAAGATCAAGGACGAAAGTGAAGTAGAAAGAGACAAAGAAAAGTAGATACAATCAGACAGAGAAACAGAGAGAATGAGAGAATGAGTGAGCGGAAGAGTGAGAGAGAATAAGAGAGTAACTGGAAGAGAAATGATGAGGATGAAATTCATCTGGTTTTTCGAATTTACTGTGAGGCGCTATTTTCATATTCGATTTTTTAGTTCGAGACGAATCAGAATAAACAACGAAAAGTATCTTTCGTCATTCCTTTTATCCTTTCACTCGCATCTTCATTCATCATCATCTTCATCGTTTCTTCTTCCTCTTCTTCCTCATCTTTTGATTACCTTTTTCCTAAAATCTCTGTTATATTTTCTCTCTCTTTGACTTAAAAGTTATTCTTTCATCTTCTTCATTATGGTGATAATGATGATGATATGATCATCATGATGATCTTAAATATTGTTGTGACTCATCAATTGACCTTTTTTGTCTATTAACTAATATTAGAGTTTATTAGTTTGTTTTATTTGATGAAGATTAAGATGATGGATATGAGACGGAGAGAGGGAGAGAAGAAGAAGAAGAAGCAGAAGAGAGAGAAGGAGAGAAAGAGAAAGAATGAGAAGAAAGAAAAAAAGTAAAGTTGTCTGAGTGAAAAAGAAAGAAAAGAAAGAGAAGGTTGGGTGATAAATAGAAACACGCGTTTTCTTTTCTTTGTAATTAAATCTGATCAACTGATTTATTCTCGTAAATTAATTGATTAATCGCTTATTCTTTATCTGAATAATTGATTGGTGTTCATTTTATCTGATCAATTGAATCTCCACAAATGATAAAACCCTTTACAATAATCATATGTTTCTATCATTTCGTCATCATCATTATTATCAATTTCATCATTTGTCTCTCTCTCTCTCTTTCTCTCTTCTTTAAAACCTGATTCTCTCTATCATTCCGTCTCTCTCTCTCTCTCTTTCTTCATCTTCATCTTCATCTTCAAGGGCAGTCTTCATTTACCTTTTGTATCAAGTCAAGTATCGTAATGATGGAGATGAAGATGAAGTTGCTCCTCATCCTTCATCTTCATCCCCATCCATCATCATCATCATACTTTTTTTATCTTCTTCATCTTTATCCTCATAAAGATGATCTCAATAAGCAGCTGATTTTGATTCATTTGTTTTCATTTTCATCACCTTGTTGTTTTTCAGCCATTTAATAAACACCATCAACATCAAACGATACAGTTAATTGTTATTTTATATAACAGAACAAAAAACAAATCTTAAATTAACAATTAACAGCTAAACGGTGTTTAATATAATACTAATTAAACATTTAATCACAACATTTGATCAACAATTAACATCAACAACAAAATCGAACCAAAATTGAGCATCTGAAGAATCAAACTTGTTGAAAGTTACACAAGACGAAATAGAAACGAGTAGTTAATCAAATTACATCGTATACCTTTAATAAACCTTTAAGCTCTATCGTTTAATTAACACAATTTATTGATTTATTTTGTTTTGATCAGTCGTGATCAGTTGATTATCTTTGTAATTAACGACCAAATCAAATGTTTTATCATCAATCATGTTTAAAAAACCACAACAAGAAGCAAACAAGTGAAGATTAAACTGATCCCAAAAGTTTTGGCAACTTTTTCATCTTATCCCTGAAGATGATAATCTATGGATGACTGAAGGGATTGACAATTTGTTCTCTCTCTCTCTCTCTCTCTCTCTCTCTCTCTCAGATAAAGATGATGAAGTAGATGATAAGTTGGGAAATATTGTTCAGATTAAGGAGGATAACCACAGAGGAGGATAAAAGGATGATTAAGATCAAGATTTATGGTCTAAGTGTAGATTTAGTCTGATGCCAAATTTTATTATTCATCTTGTTTTTTTCATCCTCATCTTAAATCTCACAGTTAAGAGGGAAATTAACTGTTAATCAATAAATTGATTGGGTTTAACAAAATAAATCAACTCTCAATATAATGATAATTTAGCAAACAATTAATCAATTGCTTACAAATGATCATTTGTCGTTGGTTGTAAAATGATTTAACAAATTGATTTGCAATTAGGTGAAACTTCAATTTTAGTTTATAATCAACTGATTATATCTTAATCTTAATCCGTAAGTTTTTATCTTTCCGATCAGCTGATGAATAGATTTGTAAACATTGTTGCCAGAAAAATGCAAATGGAAAATGGTTTCAAAATTAATTGCTAATCATTTACTATGTGGATTAACAATTGTTTCAAATAATTTTAACAATTGAATTGTATTTATGATCCTTGATTATCCAGCAAAAGGTTTTTATTACAAACAGATTATGATAATCAAGTAACAATCAAAAGTTAATCATCAATCTCGTTGCATGTGTATACAAATTAACCAATTGTATTAAATATTTTGCTTAATTGTTGTTGTTGTTGGTTAATCTTAATCACGCCAATGAAATTGTTGATCTTGATTATTTGAAATCAGCTAAAACAGAAAACAATTTGATGCAGAAATTGTAACAATTAAAAATGAATTATAATGAATAATTAAGATGATTAAGATGATTCCTTTCCTCCCCCTTTATTTACAATTATCAGCACGATATTGGTATTAGGAGCTAATCATGATCAAGCTAATTGTATACAATTAACATTAGTTAACCTTGATTATAATGGTATATTTTATCATGAGTCCAAGGTTAGATTGTTAATTGTTGTCATTTCAACTTTTAATTGTAAAAAGTTGGGGAAAAATCAATTGATTATCGTCAAAATCTGACAAATTGTTTTTACATCTTAACCAATTAGGATTAATCATCAAGATGATTAGTGAAGGAAAAAAAGTTTAACAACTAAATTAGACCAACAATTAAAAATCAATGAGTTTTTTTTTTGGTGTTTCTGTTGATCAAATTGTTATTAATTATAAATAAATATTGAATTAGTATATTTTAAATTGATTGTGAGAAGGTTAATATTAATGGTTAATCAATTGATTGTAACTGGTTTACGAGGATCATGTTGATTAACTTTAAATTGTTAAATCAAGAACAAGGCCGTGGTTACCCTATATGGTATTAATCACGGAAAGATTAACAACTATTAACCATCAACAATCAACAATCAACATTGAGGCAACAGGTTGTTGCAATTCGTGATGATTAGCAAACTAAATTGTTAACAATTAAGGAAACATTAAGGAAAGAAAAAAATCCCAATCTCTTACTATTGGCATTTAATTGTGAGCCAAAATTTAAATTTCTGATCATCAACAATTAACATTCACTATTAGATAACTAACGATAATCTATTGATAATAGTAACAATTAGTGACCATTGTTGATTATGATACGATTGAAACAATCTAATCAAATGATTTAGACGAATAGAGTTTAATTAACTAAATCGATTGACTAATTTTTGTTAATATATTATGATAACAAAAAAAAGTATCTAATTGATTATCTTTGTGAATGATAATCTTTGAAACAATCAAGTTAATTGTTACAAACTTGTGGAAATGTTTAAAGAAAACAAGATAAACAATTAAATGACACAATTAACCAATGATTAAAGTTAATTATTCGGTTTGAGTGAAAACAAGAGACTCACAATTGAGATTAAGGCTAAAATTAACTCCAACTTTTATTCTGAGTCATTAATTGTTGCAAAGATGATTTTTTGAGTCTCTTCATAGATGCTGAAAGCTTTTTTGATAGAGAATCATCATCATCATCATTATCATCATTTTATCATCATGGTTTCATCTTTTTCCCTGTCAGGGGAGTTTGAATATCTTCTTGAAAAGGCGCCTTGGGTGTAAGATGTTACATGAAAAGGGCCACTGATTATTAGATTTAAACTGAATTAAGCTCTAATATTATACTAACATTAAACGCCCGCCAAAAAATGGTAAAAATCGTGCCAAGAACTTTTTATCATTTCGAAAAAAAGAAAAATATTCTCCACTCATTATTATCTTCACTTCTCATGTCACATATTCATCTTCATCTTTATCTTCATCCTCATCCCTGCAACTCTCCTAAGATGCGAATGTCAGAAAATAGAAACACTCCATCATCCCGAGTAACTAGAATGGTCGACAATTTATCAATTACTGAGCTCAGTATTTAGCCCATAATTTAAAACTAATCAACTGATCAACAATTAGACAAGTCAATAGATTCATGAGGAGGTTAAATTTGATCAATCGAATAAGAAAAACTCGTAAAAATTCAAGTTTCCATCAGAATATTATCTTCAATTCTCATCAATTGTTTACTTTACAATCTGATGATAATCTTTCAATTCTGATGATTGACACTGATTGTTTACTATTGTCACTTGATTAGTTTAAAGAGTTAACAGTTACATTGAAATCTGGCATAATCGTCAAACTTACTACTTCATCAGCATCTATCTTTTCATCTTAATCGTAATCTTCATCAGCTTAATCATCATCTTCTCTCTCTCTCTCTCTCTCTCTCTCTCTCTCTCTCTGTAATTCACTCCCAAGAATCTAATCCATCTTATTAACAACTGTTTAGATAATGAAACAACAACAATTTAACTTTAACCATGAACCAACCAGATTATGTTGATAACTTAGTATTTTCAGCTTACCTAAGCAATTTAGTAATCAAAACATCAAGGAGGCAACAATTTAAATTGATTAGTGTTAAAGTTAAATATTTTCATGCTAATTACTGTAAACAAAATGGTTATTAATCTTTTAATTGTCACTTAATCTTACACAAGATGAATTGTTATCAAGAAAGTGAAACTTTTCTTGATTGTTGATTATCATGATGGTGTTTAATTCAAACACTTTATTGTCAATCAATGAAAAGTTTTTCTTTTTAATTGTTGTCATTTGATAGGTTGATAGGTAATTGTTGATCCAAATTGAATAATCAAACAACCACAAATTGTTAAAGTTGATTAATTAAACATTGATCAACAATTTGTCTCTTGATTTGCGTTTAATTCAATCAATGGTTTCATTTGAATTTTGTCTCTAATTATAATTAGTAAACGGTTTTAATTAAAGTTTCATTTGCTCATCGACTGATAAATTTGGTTGAAATTTAAATTTAAATTCATTTTGATGAACTTAATTGATTTTAATGTTTAGTTAACAAAGTATTACAGTTCTGGCAATTAAAAGGGACATTGATTGATTGAAAATGTCTAAAATTGTAACAATCAAGTTAAAGTATTGATTTCTTGTTCTAATTGTTGATTTTTCGTCTCTTCTCAATTTGAATTTTAGCCGAAGCCCTTGGATCGATCCAGGACAAAAGCGAAGCCGATGATAGCATGTACAATAGTCCATCAGGTCGCCAAGAAGGTAATGATCGACTTAATTACTCAGATCGCACAACTGGATCAATTTATTTAACGGAAACAGAAACAAATCAACAACAATCAACTTCATCAGCATCAACCGTTTCAACCCCATCTTGGTTAATCCAAGAAAAACCATTATACTCTCCAATAATTAATTTAGTTCCAGCATCACAACTACAACAATTAGGTAAGTTAATTTACTCCCAATCAACTTGGAGTATCAACAATTAACAAAATGAGATGAAAAAGTAAATTTCCAATTAAACTAAACTAACGACATCTCTTGACGTTCATATGCAACTTACGAAAATAAGTTGATCACAATTATTGATGAAAATCAAATTGATCATTTTCATAGAGTTTTAATTGTTTCCATTTGAATTAACTCAACAGGAGGTCAATATTCCAGTGGATTAACGACAACAACCACATCAGTATCTGGACAATCAACTCAATTGTGTTCAACTCTTAATCCAAGTTTGTGCATGGTCACTGGAACGATTTCCCCTCAACCTCATCTCTCTCATCATCCACAATCACATCATCTCTCTCATCCTTCATCAGTTCATCTTCTTCATCAAAGCCATCATCATCATCAACAGCAACAACAACAACAACAACATCACCATTCGAGTCACCAATTGCTTACCAATATCTCATCACTATCAACTAGTGGTCATCTTCAGTCTCTTCATCAGCCCCATGGTCACCATGGTCATCATCAACATTCACACTATGATTTAAGCTCATCGGATGCTCAGGGTGGGTCATCTGATGCTTCCTATTCAACTGAACTTTTAAGCTCATTTTCAAGCTCTTCCTTTGCCGATGGGTTTACGGTAAAACCAGAATATACAAATTCACCCGCCAGTGTCACCGATCTTGGTGGTACCTCCCTTGAGGCCAGCTCTCAATCAAGTAACACCAACAATCCTAGTAACTTAATTAGTTCAAACAATAGCAACAGTTTGTTAACTAATGATGATATTTTTGCTCGTTTAACGGCTTCCAGTTCAGACTTGACCGGTCAACACTTAACTAAATACCAATGGTCAACTTTTCCAAGTGCAACTGCCACTGCCGTGGTAGTTGCTCCCACTGTAATTACTTCGGGTGGGACAACATCACCGCCTTCATCTTCATTGACAGAGTATCAAACACTTACCTCAGCATCGCCAATTCATCATCTTCATTCATCTTCAGGGGGTGGGAGTGGATCGACTTCGAATATAATTCCTAAAGTTTTACACCAAGAAAGCGGTGGTTATGTTACATCACTCAGTTTATCTTCACCTTCATCATCATCAACAATTACGGGTAATAATTCATTAGGAACCAATCCTTTGTATACAACATCATCTTCATCCTCATCAACAACCGTATTAACTAATTCATCATTAACCTCATCCAGATCAAATAGTAATAATAATAGTACAAGTAATCAAATTGACAATTTGGCTCGATCATCATCAGCGGGATCGACTCGAACGACCTCGTCCACGGCCACAACAAGTGAGACAACAACAACTGAACCTAATTTAGCAGAATACAATCAGGCCACATCAAAAGGTCACGAAATTTTAAGCCAAGCTTATCAATCGAGTCCAGTTCCGATCAAATTGATGCCAGTTAAGCCACGTAAATATCCCAATAGACCAAGTAAAACTCCCGTTCATGAGCGACCTTATGCTTGTCCAGTTAAAACTTGTGATCGTCGATTTTCTCGCTCAGATGAGCTTACAAGACACATTCGTATTCACACAGGCCAGAAGCCGTTTCAATGTCGCATTTGTATGAGATCATTTTCTCGTTCTGATCATTTGACAACTCATGTTCGTACACATACCGGTGAAAAGCCATTCAGTTGTGACCTTTGTGGCCGTAAATTTGCTCGATCAGATGAAAAGAAACGCCATGCAAAAGTACATTTAAAACAAAAGGTAAAACGGGAATCAAGAGGTCACTCCAATTCTCGCGCTGCAAGAGCAGCAGCAGCAGCGGCGGCAGCGGCAGCATCAGCAGCTTCCACATCCTCAACAGCAACAACTTCAACACCAACGACCACTGCCACCGCTACATCATCCTCCTCATCAACAGTAACGATATCAAACTTAGGTCATCACCAACAAATAACAATCCAACACCAACACCAACAGCAACACGATCACCAACAACAACAACATCATCAACAACAACAGCAGCAGCAGCAGCAGCAACAACAACAACAACAATATCATCAGCATCACCAACACCATCAGCACCAACAACATTATCACCATCAACAACCCCAACCCCAGCCCCAACACCAACAACAACAACAGCACCTTTTAATTCAACAACAACACCAACAAACGCAACAATAAGTTTGATATGAAACCAGAAAAACAAATTGATCAGCACAACAATTAAATCAACTTGATCATTTTCTCAACTCAATTAATTGTTATACATTTTAATTAAACAATCGCCGATTGCCCCGTTCCTTCTAATTAATACAATTAATTAATTTTATCAACACAACAAAGATTTTGATCTAATTCAAAATCCAATCTTTATACATATAAAAAAAAAATCGGACTCGAAAAAAAGTTAATCTATTTTATTGTTTCTTTTTCTGCTCACTATTGAGCTTTTGCTATTAATTAATTAATTAATTATCGTTGATCATTGTTTGCCAATCATTCACTTGATTCACTCTGCAAGATGCACCTTAATCACAAACAATTTAATCATCTTTTAATTGTCATCAACTTTTTTGTTTCTTCTTCACCACTGAAGCCTCACTTCTCAATTCTAATGATCATTTGATTATCTCTTCTTAATTGTAATAATTATTATTTACCAACAATTGCCTCACCTCTTCCTATCGTCCAATTGTCCACCATCCAGTTAATTAATTGATTACCAATATAATATAAATATATATCATTAATTGTGAACAATTAAGACACAAAACCAAATCAATTTTAATCTTCCTCTTGCCATCTTCATCTCTTCATGTTATCATAACATTTTTCAACTACTATTTTGACAACCTTTGGTATCTACGATTAATTAATTCAATCAATTAATTAACGATCTAATTGTATTAATCTAATTGAGAAATGAAAATGTTTACAAAAAAATCAACTGTTTAAAACACAACAATTAAAATCTTTTTGTTATTTACACTGATTAACTTTCAATGTCTCTTTGTTTTTGTTCAATTAATCTGATAATCGGAATAACGGTAAATGATTAGTTAATTGTTATGATTAGGAAAGTTTAATTATCCCGTTTAGATTGTCATTAGACTAGTCACATTTAATTGTAGGAAATACACACAATCAAATCATTAGAATTATCATAATTAACTAATTGTCAAATTGCTGACGTTTTAAAGGTTGATACAAATGTAAAACAGATACAATTAAAAAATTATTAGATTTAATTAGCAAATGATTACATGTTAATCAGCCACCAATTTAACCTTTGAACATTATTATAATTAATTTGATTCGTAATTAACGATTATCACTCGGGTTTATGATGACGATAATCAAATTTTTTTCACAATCGTTACTAATTGTTGATTGTCAATAGGGATTTTCTTCCTGTTGATTAAGTTATCGTTTGTTTGATCAGTCAATTAGTTATTTCCTTTGTCTCTTGTTGACAATTAAGTTAATCAACAAAGATAATCAACATTGGAACGAGCAAAAAAACTCTCCATTTCAATTGAGCTTTTGTCGTGTCAAGATGAAACATCAACTAATTAATTTGATTCTCTTAATTGTTTATATTTCTACAGTTGAATCGACTCTCTACCCGAAGGATAGTTTAACTCGATTTACTCGAACTTTAGATGGAATTTGGAACTTCAGAATCTCACCAATCGACGACGTGGACAAAGGATTTCGAGAGAAATGGTTTGCGTCCTCTCTCTCAAAGGTAAGTTACAATTAAGATTTTCTCAATCTTCTTGATTAACGACTGACCTTAATTCAGACTGGATCAGTGATTCCGATGCCAGTTCCGTCGAGTTACAATGATATTACCCAAGAGAAAACTATTCGAGATTTTATCGGTTGGGCTTGGTACGACACTGAGTTCTTTGTGGATCCTTCTTGGTTGAACTATGATCGTCAGGTCATTTTGAGATTCTCATCCGTCAATTATGCGGCCGTTGTTTGGATTAATGGTGTTGAGGTGACTCAACATATCGGTGGACATTTACCATTCGAGACTTTGATTACTGCCAATTTAACGGGTAAAAAGGTGAACAGATTAACGGTCGCTGTCAACAATACACTCAGTGACCACACTGTCCCACCGGGGAAAGTTGAGTGGAAAAATAATACCGATTATCCCGAAAATTTCTACATTTTCACACCGAGCTTTGATTTCTTCAACTATGCCGGAATCCATCGAAGTGTCCACCTCTATTCGGTCCCTTCTACTTTCATCGAAAAGGCCAATGTTTTAACTGACCTTTCGTTGGATGATTTAACTGGTTCAATTGATTATTCGTTAACACTTCATCTGGCCGAAGGAGCTTCGGTCGATGATTATATCGTTCGAGCATCAGTTCAAGATGCTGATGATACAATCGTTAAGGTTAACATTGGTTTGGCTTCGGCTCGATTGTCAATTGCCAATGTTCACCCGTGGTGGCCTTACCTTATGGATCCTAATCCAGCTTATCTGTATAAGATAATCTTTGAATTAATCGACACTAATAAGAGATTAGTTGATCAATATGAATTTAAAGTTGGTTTCAGGAAGATTCAAATTAATGAGAGACAGTTTTTGATAAACGGGAAACCATTTTACTTTACTGGATTTGGTAGACATGAAGATAGTAATGTAAGTGATTTATTTGATTGATTCAATTGCTGGAGATTGATTTGATTTAATTAACTGATTAGATTCGTGGCCGAGGCTTAGATCAAGTGTTAAATGTCAAGGATTTCAATTTAATCCGATGGATTGGCGCTAATTCATTTAGAACGTCACATTATCCTTATTCGGAAGAGATTATGGATTTAGCTGATTCTCAGGTATTGTTGTGGTCGATGAATGTCCGGCGGTTGGTTTGACCTCTTTCGATGACGTTAAATTGGGTCTACACATTCAATCGTTAACTGAATTGATTGCTCGTGACTACCACCGACCATCAGTTGTTGTTTGGTCAATCGCTAATGAGCCGAGTTCAAATTTACCAGCGGCCGATGATTATTTCAAAAAAGTAGCTGCACATGTAAAGTCAATGGATACTAGTAGACCGATTTCAGCGGCTATTTCGATGCAATTAACTGGTGAAAAGATGGCTCAATATTTGGACTTTCTCATGATTAACCGATACTTTTCATGGTACAACGATTGTGGTGCACTCGAAGTAGTCAAACCTCACTTGATCAATGAGTTTAGACGTTGGTATAAAGCGTACAAAACCAATCCTCGTGAGTGAATATGGAGCCGATACGATTCCAGGAATACATTCAGTGAGTACAATTAATCAATTTCTTTGCGCCACAATTAACCCTTTCTTCACCTAAATCAGAGTCCAGCTTATATGTTTTCAGAAGATTATCAAACAGAGATGCTAATGGAATGGTTCGAAGGGTTTGATCAACTTCGAGCTGACGGTTTTTTCGTAGGAGAAATGATATGGAACTTTGCCGATTTCATGACGGCTCAAGGTGATTAATGAACTTATCAACAATTCTTAGAACAATATTAAAGTTTCAAATCAATCTTTAGGTACAACGAGAATTTATGGTAACCGGAAAGGTATTTTCACGAGAGAACGTCAACCAAAGGCTTCAGCTAAATTGCTTCGATGTCGATACCTGAATATCCACAATGCGACAATTAACGATCATGCTGTTTACTGTCCAAATACGTTGAGCAAAATGTCCAACGACTTCGAAGGGCTAATTCAAGATAAGAAACTTTTTTCCATTTAAAAAACAAATTTTGATCAATGAAAAAGTTCAAATTGTAAACAATTTTTTTACCAAAAGACACTTTGATTAACAAAACTCGTAAATAATTTTGATTGTTGGTGCTAATTGTTGATTGTTGATTAGTCTTTGTCAATGTTCACTTTCTTGTAAAGAACAATTTTGTTGAAAATTTTTTCCAAAATTTGTTTCGAGTTCATTTTCTCAGAACCGGATAGACCAAGAACCATAGCGCACTCTTTGATATAATAATCGATATCATCATCGGTACATTTATTCACAATTTGAGCTAATCGAGCTGGAATTGAACTAAAGGCCTGGTCGAGGTCAAACAGCTCAAGATTAGGCTTCGGGTGACAACGAAAGTTAGGAGAGAAAACTGCAGGTTCGAGGTTAGGTAATGGTGAGTCGAACTGAGGTTTAATTAACTTTAGAACCTCTTTTTCCATATGGAAATCCTTATAAGCGGCGATCACTTTGGCCAACAAAGTGTTATCAATTTCGTAGATTTGTTGAGTGAAAAGCTTCGTGTAGTCCGAAGGAGCATCTTCCGTTTCCTGTAGACACGAAAGCGGCTCCTCAGCAAGTGAAGCGATATCAGGAACCGTATGGTAATCACTGACTTCCGGATCTTCGGCATCGATTGTATCGATCGGAAAAATGGCCTCCAGCAAGAATTCCAAAATAATGTCTTTAATCAATGAATTATCTTCTTTCTCAATGTAACTATCGGTAAACATTTGTGATGATCCGGTGACAATTAACTTACCACCCGATAATTGATCGGTATAAAAAGCAATCGTTGGCCGATTGAGCGGAAAACAAACTGATCCAGTTGATAGAACCCCGATTCCTGGTTTAATTACATTCAAACTCGCACCGAAAGGATAAACATAATTAATTGATTGTAAACTTGATCCTTTTGATTCAGTTAAATTTTTCAATTTCCCTGCGACAGTTAATATACCACGATTAAGGATTCCATTGGTGATTAAGGCTTCTTTTGGATGGAGATATTTAAAATATGAATTACGAACAACAGTATCTGTGGAAAAGATTTTAATTGTAACAATTAGACACTTTAACCACTCGGAAAGAGGAAATTAATTGTTACCATTGTTAATTGTTATTCCAGTGTTTTCCAAGATTAAATTAACATTTGATGATTGCCTCCGATCGCCTCCTTCATTCATCATTAACCAAAGTTTCCCACCATTGGAAATATATTTTTTCAGATGATTAATCTTCAATTGCAATTAATAGTTAATATTTTATGGACAATTAAAAGTCATAATTGGTGATTAACTGATTACCTGAAGATCTGAATATTTTTCCTTTGGAGTAGATATGACGAAAATCGAGGCTTGATTCAATGTATCACTTGAAATTTCATCTTTGTTACTATTTATCAACAATTAGAAATTAATTTAATTCTTAATCATGATAACTAATTACTCACCTGATTACTTTATAACCTGAAGTTTTAAATCTTCTTGTCAACACTTTGAATCCTTGTTGAGGTGTAAATAAATTGTTCTTTGAACAATCAAATATAATTGTCACCAAATTGTCTTTATCCATCATTGTGATTGTCATTTACTCACCAAAGAAAACAGTTAATTGTAATCAGCGATCATTAATAGTAACTAGTAAAGTAAACTAATAATAAGCTACTAATTATATAGTGATTATATAAATGAAAATTAAATTTTACAATAGAATCAGTAATTTACTTGAGGTGATTTATTTGTTTGTAATTTAAAAAGTAGAATCCATGGTAACCATTGGTAATTTATATTGATTGAGGATCAATTGTTTTGAATTATTGATCATTTGATATTGGTTGATGCTGAGAAACATTCAATTAATCAGTTTTTGTTTCAGCTTCGCCAAAATTAAGATTACTTTGTAATTACAATTGAGATGTTTATGAACAATTATAAATGAAGTTTCAACATGAAGAGGAAAAGAGGTGATAATCAGTACAAATAATTGGACAGAGAGAGAGAGAGGGAGGGAGGGGGAGATGTAATACTTTTCAAGATATAACTCGGGATGAGAGTGGGAGAGACCTGAAGTATCATCTTCAGGTGAATTTGTTTGTTTACGTTTTTAGATTTACTATAACAACCAGAACATTAATGATAATAATTCAAATGATAAAATCATCATGATACATCACAGATTTTTGTTTTCTTTTAGTCTTACGGATAAGTCATGAGTTTAGTGAGTCAAGAATTTTAAGTGAGTTAGTTAGCAGAACAGGAAAAGGTAGGAAGATGCAGAGGAGATTAGGATGAAACTCAACTTCTTTTTTTCATAGCAAAGTTGAAGTTTTTGATGTAATATTATGTTGGAACCACTATAATGATGTTTTATGGATTAACATGAGTGATGATGATTATAAGATTAGTTGGATGATGATAATAATTTTTAGAATGCAACAGGCACCAGTCTTGATGATGATGATGATAAATCTCAGTTCTTAAGAGATAATAACCTGAGAAATAAATGAGAAATGCAATTTTCAAGGCAGTCACAACAGAAGGCATATTATATGAATAAAAGATATTGAGTTTGGCGACAATTGATAATTAGCGATTTGATTATCGGCATATTTTTGCTTTGCAAGGGTAAATTTTGTCCCATTTCGTCGAGATTGTGGCAAAAAAATGGACCAATTTTTATTCAACGGCAAATCCACAGGTTTCCTCTATTGCTTGAGTCAACTTTTCGTACAATTTGTCATAAGTTTCATAAGGAGGTAGATCGATACGATTAAAACAGGTATGGGCTTTTGGGAGGTTATCTGTACTCGCTTCTATTAAATGGATTGTGAATAATCTTGGGCCCGAAGCTCCGGTCGATCCTTGAAGAGCTTTGAAACCTTGTAAGGGCACTCGACTACTTCCAGTGACAAATTGCAATAAACGGGCTCTCCTTTCCTCCGAATATGATTCAACTGCTTGCCAGAACCATTTAACGACCGGAGTATCAGGTAAACAATGTTTAAGTCTAGTATTTGATTTCCAATCATTGATATCAATGTTTCCCAAACCACTGATAACAAGCTAATCCATAAATGAAATGCAAATATTATTAGTAAATAATGATTGAAGATAATCAGGAAACAAATATGATAGTTGATTGTTAATATTTCTTAATTACCTCTAGTTCTTTTTCATCGAATACTTGGAGTAAACTTGTGGGCACAAGTTCGTTGAGACCTTTTTGTAATGCATGAAACTGTTGTTCGATTCCTCGTCTGAATCGATAATTAACGTACAATTTAACATATTCGCGTTTATTTTCTTCCGTCACCGGGATGTCCTTTCCATTAGGTTTTAATTCATGCACTTGCAAATGACCAAAAGAATCATGTTCGACACTAAAAGTTGTGTCCAGTACGTCACTTAAATTATTCTCTCTGAAAATTGGAAAAGTGAAAAAAGATCATTCAAAATGAGCAATAGAAGTTTAAATACAATAAAAGGGAAATAAACATACAACATCCAGCAGAGACTTCGATAAAGTTCTGGGTCTACAACTCGAATATCTTCAAGATTGATAGATTTGTTTAAAAGCATTTTGTAAAAAGGTAAAGTAAATCCACCGTCAATATAATGCCCATGGAAAACCGCCATTCCGATAATGCGACCTACAAAGTGAAAATAAGTCAAATGATCCTGGAAAGAAGGAAGTAATCAATCAATGAGAAATAAATCATGATTCATGATGATAGTAAAAAAGGGTAAGGGAACTGAAATTAGAGCAAATTAGTTGGAAAAATCTTACCGGGTTGATTGAGGAATCACGATTAATTTGTAAGGTGTATACATCTTCTCGTGTATACTGAAAAAGTCCATATTGTGGGTTCAGCATTTCATGCGACAATAAATATAACCATTCCCGTGCAAGGCCACCATAATCTAGTCCTTCTTCACCTTTAAACTTGACAATTAAACGTTTCCTTAAATCTTTAGGTTTCATTTTCATAACGGCTCGATATGAATCTTCAAAAATGTCTTTCCTGGAAACTTCAAGTCGACAATGTCCAGCTTGGGGGAGTAAGTCTTGTAACTCTTGTCTAAGTCCGGCCATTTTTTGGACCAAATTTTTCTTTTTACAACTTTCTCGAAACGAATGGAGGTCAATTCCATCGAAAACTCCATGGTGTTTATAAGGTTTTTCAATGTTTGCATAACAATGATTGGGACGCTCTCTAGAATCACAAGAATCAAAAAATAGAAACTCAGTTAACATTGTATTGGAAAAACGATTAGATTGAAATTCAAAGAATAAAAAGTCGAGGGGATCGAGAATCACAGGATCAAATAATCAATGAATTTGAATAGAAAATAATTGTCAGAGAGAAAAATCTAAATCCACTCTCAGTTAATCCAAGAATCAGGAAACCAAGAAGTAAAATCAAAGAAAATTTGGAGAAAAAGGAAGACAAGGTAGAGGAAGGAACAAGGAACTTACAGATGAGATGGAGAAAATTAAACTTAATGGCTCAAGGGAGTTAATTGTTGAGGGTAAGAAGGTAAATACACATAATAAATTGAATTGATTAAAGAGAATCGAAAGTGTTAACCAAAATTTCAGGTTGATTCAAGGTTGGTTATTGTGTTAATAAGGTGAAGATAAGGTAAAATATAATAGCCTCGAGTGTATCATTATCATAACATAATTTAGATGAACAATTAAGAAACTGATTTAACCTTAAAATTGATTTGGATTCGCGACTGGAAATAGCTTATTTTCACTGTAAGTTGAGTTTAAATAGGATTTTGTTGGAAATTGGGAAGAAAAGCAAGAAAACATGAGAAAAGTTGGAGAACACACCCCGAAAGGGACCGAATAAAAATTTAGTCCCACTATTCTGTCAGGTCACTTCAATGGTTCTCATTGCGGTGATGGTTTTCTCTTTATGTTGAGTTGATTTCTTCAATATTTGACCTTGATCAAGTTAAACGTTTTGAATGATTGGAGTGTAAAATGATAAGAAATCAATAAATTATCGTAAAAATTAATTGAATCAATTCGGAAATTATAAGTTGCTTTTGGTAATGAAGTCAAAGGTTATACTGTTTAAAATATTCAGATGGAATCGGAATGAGTTTGGGAGAAAAGATTGAAAAAATTGATTCTTTCTAATGATTGTTAACACTTTATAAAGTTGACGCAATGCTGATTGTTGATTGGATTCGAAAACGAAATTTATAAAAGTGATGTAAACTTTTTCTCTATTAAGATATGTAACGAAGTTGTTGAGATTGTGAGTGATTAATTGCTGAGAGAGAGAGGATGAAATGAGGTAGCATATGATTGAAAGAGGGATGAAGATTTGTAGAGATATTTTAGAATTGATAGATAAAAAGTAATTAGAGAATCTCAATGGAAGATAACATGATGAAAAGAAAATCTATCATGAAAGGATAGAGACGAGGGAAGAGATTAACCATTAAGATGGTAGAAGAACAAGACTTTGTTGGAAGTGAAAGAACATAGAATTTTTTTTTACCTTAGAATCTTCTTAAGTATATCAGGATTGGCAACGAGTCTTGGGTCAGTAAATTGAGTTGTTTTATTATTGTGATCGACAAAATATTGTCGCTCACGTTCACCTGAGGTTATGGTTCGCACTTCCCAACCATCGGGCAATTTACCGACCAATTTGTCTAAATCAAGATTTTGATAGAGAAGCTCTCGAGGAACTCGAGGGTCATGCCAAGTGCTTTTGGATGAAGGGACATGATAAAAGTAAACTTGACCTTTGGGTGCGATTCTCATCTCGTAGCCCTCAGGCAAACCGACAGTAGATGTTGAACTACCAAGGCTACTGTTGGCATTATTGGACGTTGAGTGCGATGTTGTCGGTGGCAAGTTGACTGGTTGAAGATTATTTGATGAAGAAGATGGTGATGTCGATACATTGGCAACAGCAGCATGCAAATGATTCCTAGAAAGGTAATGACGATGTCGAGTGGATCTTCTCTGATGATTACGTCCACTAATTGAATTTTCATTACGATTATTATTGTGTTGGCTTAAATTTCCATGTCCACCAATGTTACCAATATTACTTTGATTACGGCTTTGGTTATGAGCATGATTAGGACTTGAAACCAAAATGTTGTTACTCATCAAACTGTTATTCAAATGACGATTATTATTACTTAAATTTTGTTGATTATGATGTGAATGATAGTGATGGTGATGGTGATGATTATTGTTATTATTGTTTGAAGTTGTGTTTCCATTGTTATTTGAACTTGATGGTCTATTACATTGAGTTGAATGTGTAACCTTTTGCTCTTGTTGTTTGCTAGTTGATCCATCGCTTTTCCCACCACCAAATAATTTACCTAAAAAAGACATTGTAAAACTAAAGAATACAGGCACAAAGAGACAAAATGCGAAAAGAAAATTAAAATTAAGCAACCAAATTAAAGATCACAATCAATTAATTATTCGGAGTAACAACAAAGAAAACAAAAGGCCTTCAGGAAACACTTAAGTTGAGAACCAACTAAGAACTGAGAACACAAATTCTAATGTCGGTAACACTCCAAGCGGAATAAAAGGAAACCAATTTTCTTTTTTTGTTCTTTTTATGGTTTGAAAGTTTTTCGTTTCTTTTTCTTAATTGTAACAATTAAGAATTAAGAAGATAAATTTGATTGAGAGATTTTGATGGAAAGAAATCGATCAATTTAAAGGGAGATTATTTTCTTAATTTGGTTTTGATGGAAACGAAATTTAAATCAAGTTGAAGTTAAGTGATTTTCCATTTGTTTTGATTAGATTGTTGTTCAAGTTTTACTTTTAATTTGATCATTTAAATTGACAATCAAATTGAATCATTTAAATTTACAACGGTTTTAATTTTTTCTTTATTGTTTGTGAGTTTTTGATTGTTTTTGATGATCAACAATTTACCGACAATGAAAAGACTGATTGTCTTTCAATCAGACGAAAGACGTTGATTTTGTTTACTCATATTCAGAGTTTACATTTGAATATTTTTAATTATCTACAATCTAGTTGAATGTTATTTATTTTACAATTTTTAATTTCCACCCCTTGATTATGTCAATTTAATCATTTCGTTTGATTGTTTCAAGTTGATTGTGTAGTGGTTAGTATTTTCAGCTAAACAACAATACAAATATGAAGCAATAACTGTAAGTTTTCATGTTAATACTTTTCAATTGAAGAGATTACATCATGTTGATATCATCTTAGCTTTTTCTTGATCCAAATTCAAATCCAATCCAATTGTTGATTTAACTGCGTCGAGTGAGCAATCAAAATCATTTGATTTTATGTAAACTCAACAATTAGCCGAGATACAAGTGAAAAGGGTTGAGAAAGAGGGAGAGAGAGAGAGATTAAGATGAGTGAGAAGAAAGAGAAAAAAATGTAAATATTGGAAAGATGATGAAATTGATTGAAGTGATTAACTCGATTTAGTTGAATAGGAAAACAAAATAAGATGATAGATATTTAATCACGGGATGATTACTCTTTCGTAAATCAACTTGAGCGCCTTCAGGAGCGAAAACGGCTTTGCATTTATCCATTTTGTGATCGAATTCATCATGATTACAAACCATTCGGATTAGACCTGCAATTAAACAAGAAAGAAAATTAATCAACTAATCACTTCTCTTCATGTGATTTCATCTGAAGAGAAAGAATTGCCATCTCAATAGTATTAGATATTGAATGTAAATTTTACAACGATCTGAGATTACGATTGTTAACTCTAATCATTTTCATCAAATGAATAGTCGACTGTCCAAAATTTACCTGCGAATGCCTTGTCCAAGAAGTTGAATGTTGATTCTCTTCCCTGTTTACCACATTCTTTTTCAATCGACCTGTTGAAAAAAAATTAAATCGTGAATATCAATGAGTTAATTAAATCAATTGGATATAATTGTAATTGGAGGGAAAAGTTAATAAGGTAAATTGTTGGTGTAAACATGATGATTAATTGATTGCTCTGTTTGTGAGAAGCACTTGGAGTCAAGATGACGAGACAATTTGAGCCAATCTATTTTTGGAAATGTCTCTGGTTACTAATCACTATGGTGATCAGTTTGAGCTACAATTTGTTGATGACAAATCGCTTTAGCAGAAAGCGATAAGGGAAAAGTGTCCATAGCAACAATCAGGGTGTTCGACTTTTCCACCAAATTATCATATTTTTCATTGTAAACACAGAGAATAAGATTTTTCGCTAAGAAAGCGCACTTGGAAAATTCGATTGTATCCCTTTAGCCTTTGGGATTTCACCCCCTTAGAACCGTTTTCGCTGGAAAGTATTGATAGTTTATACTCACGTTAATAAACAGTCTTCCCAACGATTGTGTGAACAACATACAGAATCCAAACGAGCATCGAGACTACTATTCTTGTCCATTTTTTCAATTGTCGCCAAATAAGGGTCGTTACATTTTTTTTTTATTTCCTGAGTTCCAAGAACCTTTGAAACGAGACATGGTGAGTGTTTCAAGAATTCTAACAACAACAAGAAGAGGAAATAATTACAATCAATTATTATAACAAAACATTATCACATTTCACTGAACAATGTGAAGAAAACAATCAAGAGACGCCCAAAAATAAATTTAACAATTTAAATCAAATAGACAATCGTTTGACTAAAGAGAGAGAGAGAATAAACAAAGAAAAAAGTTCCATGTTCACGATAAGAAAGATCCATAATCGATAAAATGATATTTATAGAAACAGAGGCTCAACGTTGAGTGGAGATAAACAATCAACTGATGGTCATCATCAGATTTTCCTAATCAATGATAAACTAATTGAGAAATTAATCAAAGACTTACCCTCTCTTTGTTCACCAGGTTTACAGAATTTATCAATTGATTTGGTGAAATATTCCAAAGCGAAATCAAAGAATTCATATTGTAATGGTGTTCCACATCTTTCAACATACAGTTTGAAGCAAGAAATTGTATCCTGAACAGTACTGGAGAGAACAGAAGAATAAAAAGTGACCACAATTAAGGAAAAACAATTAACATGGAAAGTGAAATTAACGTTAACGAAGATGAAAATGTAAACAAAGAACAATTTGGAAAAAAAGAAGCGCCAAAAATTGGCCAATCAGAGAAGAGAAAAAATTGACATGATGAGTGAGAGAGAAAATGTTTTTCTTTTGTAACAATTAATTGCAACGGTTTTCTTGTCATTTAATTTCTTTTTTAATTGTTCTATCCTAATCTTGGGTTGATTTAGAACTTTAATTGTTACTTCAAGTTGAAAATGGTTACCGGCGAGATGATGTCCACTTTGGATCAAAATTGTCAATCCAATTGATTTGGTTTTCACATTGGATCCCAAATAGTGAGTAGTTTTTATTAAATTTACTAATTACTAAAGGGGTTTTTTTGCTTATCAGTTGATCAACAAGTGAAAGTGTGTTAATTTGGTAAACTGCATTTGGAATCAATTTAATTTCTTCTTCCGTGATTGACCATGATTAACAATCGCTTATAACTTATATACCTTGACATTATTTTGAAGAATTTTTTTTGAGACAAATTGATAATCTTCAAAATTAATCATGATAAAATAATTAGCGCGAGGACAATTAACAACAATTTAATGCTAAAATTAACTAATCAGTAAATATTATTTTCTATTCAATTAGAAATGGGGTGAAGAAAACTTCTCATTGTATCCATGAGATTCACAGGAATTCATGTTAACAACTCGGAATATTTTTCTCTGGTTCAATCTCATTAATCGGATGATGTCAATGGTGGAATCTAATGAAATCTGGTCAAGTGAGTTAATCTTAATCAAGATTAAGGTAAAATTAACTGATTAACTTACCTGCAAATCTCATTGAAACCATTTGAATCTTTCAATAGTTTGAATGTATCGGTGTTATTACGATAAGTTTCCAATCGGTCCAAACATTTGTCCAATTCGGAGAGACCACAAGTTCCCTTTGGCCTTTTACCTCGGTAACGATTCCTTTTCTTGTTACAATCAACAGTAATTGAGAAAACAATTAAACCAAAAATTAGGAAAATCACAAAATTATTTAAATTTAACTTCATAGTGTTTTAACTGATTGGGAAAAGTACGAAAAGTGAACAATTAAAACGCAATAAGATCAATCTTAACCAAAGAGTTAATCACAAGTAAATGATGACCAGTCGAGAGAAAAAGTGACCAAATAGATTCTTGTTGATTAACAATTAAGAGAGAGAGAAAAGAAAAAGTTAGTGAGTTAGGATTAATCTCAAGGAGGAGTTAATTAAATTGCTCCAGGGCAATTTAACTAACTATTAAATCACAATCATTAACAGAGTTACACTTTAATTTAGTAATTTAAATGGAAACTTATATTCGAGGCTGTTGATTGTTGTTGACAATTTTTGATTGATTATGGAACCGGTTTAATGATGATCATGATCAGGGAAAAAAATACTCACCAATTTAATTGAGATTTTAATTACAATCAATGTTGTTGATTTTCTGATCAATACTCAGATAATAGTGATTTTTATGTAAATCCTTTTAAACTTAATCAATTTCCAATAAGATTTATAGCTAATGACGACAATTAACAACATCTAAAATCAATCAACTCAATTAATTAACTGATCTACGTTCATTCATCGTCATCACTTAATCAGCAGCAATTAAAATTAACTAAAAACAATCAACTTATTTTGATTACTCCTCCTTTAGATAGATGGTGACACCATCGTAACAATTAACTAATTTTGATTAAATTTCACTGATTTTTAATGATTGATTTTATCAGAAAAAAGAAATCTAATAAACTTTGTTCATTAACTTTCCAATTGTAATTAAGATTCAATCTTGATTACATTTGATTCATAATCGATAAATCAACGAGCGAAAATATTAAAAAGTTTCCACATTGATTGTTGATTAATAACAATCACGATCTTAATTGTGTGGGTTCACAGGAATTCACGAAACCAACCCTTTGATGATTCACTTGATTTACTAATTGTGGAACCTTTAATTACACTGAGAGGGAAATTTAATCAACCTTCAATTAACCGAGTGGGTTAAAATTATTATACTTTCACATTGGAACCAATTTATTCAATCAAGGGGAAAAAATTGATTCTTTTTGTAATTTAACAACAATCAACCAGGTAAACAATTAATATTCAAGTAATCAAAATTTATCCATAGGTGTGTGTTATTGCCAATCAACTAATTCAAGGTGATCAGACATAATAATCATAAGAAATTAACGTAACAATTAATTGTTAAGTTCAAAGTTTCCAACCAAGGACATTGAAGGAAACTCATTAATTAGTGAAACTTTTGAGTAAATTTTTAAGATGAAATAATTAACCGGAAATCAGCAATCAACCAACAATAATCTAGAACCTTGACAATAAGAAGACGAAAAATTAACCACAATGATTAACTAATTGTCGACAGTTTCAATGTTATTTTTACGTCGATATTTCAAATTTGTTCGTAAACATCTTCATCTTCATCTTTATCATCATCTTCGTCATCGTTTTCATCTTCCTCCGCATCTTTTTTTCTCATCATTTTATTTACGGCTCTTTTACTTTCTCCCACTCTCTTTATCCTCATCCTCATCATCATCCTGATCATCTTCATCTTCATCCCTCTCAATTTAACTCAGAAAATCCTTGGCAAGGCAAAGATAATTTCTGGTTAGTCTTTGACGAGGTAAGATGTTGATAGTTAATCTAATGTTTAATTGTGATTAACTTTAATTTCTTAATCATTTTATCTTGTGTTTTAAACAGATCCAGTACTAACCATGGCTAATTTAATTGTAAATCTTCTCTTAATTGTGACCATTATTGTTGTTTTCTCTTCGAGCTCATTGGGTTTCCAAGTTTTGGTTTACACTCCAGCGGCAGTTGAACGCGGTTCTCAGGCCACTTTGATATGTATATCGGATCTTTACCTGGAAAACATTTACAAAGTGACCTGGAAGAAAGATGACTCAAAGATTTACCGTTACAAACCCTCAGATATCGACTCGGAGCGGGAAATTTTCCGAACCCCAGGATTGAGGATTAACGAGAGATTATCCAACTTAACTCATCTATTTCTCAATTCAGTTGACATAAGCACCGAAGGTGTTTTTACCTGCGAGGTTGAAAGTCGAGGTCCCTCATTTTACACTCGACGAAATTCAAGTGAACTTCGAGTCTATTCAGTTCCACAAACTCGAGATCCAATTGTAATCGAAGATCCTCCAAGTCGAAATTTAAAAAAAATGGATCTTAATTGTGTCTCCGCTCCAACTTATCCCGTAACTAAATTATCTTGGCTAATTAATGGTCGAACCGCTGATCAAAGTGAATTATCATCAACATCGGTGACAACACAATCAGATTTAACTAAGGTTAGTTAATCATCTTTCCTGACAATTCAACTAATCACACCATAAAATTAACCTTTACTGTTCTGATTAACACAACAATGAATTTCTTTCTAAATTGTTGTTAACACAATTAATCATTTTACTTGACAATCAAAATCCTAATTACAATTTTTGAATCTTAAGGATCGTCGTTTACGTTAATCATAGACTCTAATGATAACAATTTCCACTAGAATCAATTAGTTAATTGTTATATCAGATTCACTATTTTCGCCCACAGTTTAATCATTTACAATACAATTTAAAAAATGTTGCACATGATAAGTTAATTGTTGAGAGTTGAAAAATCCCGACAATTAAGTCAAACCCTAACAATTAACTTTGATAGGATAAGTTTCAAGATTTAATTTCTAATTACGATTAACTCTCATTTGATTTCTAACTATTATCATTACTTTGTAATTTAAATTAAGAGTAACAATCAAACACTAATTTAATTGTAAAGGTAATTTGATATCTAAATTATATAAGTTACTACTTTTGATTGCCAGAATTAGATTAGTTGGCAAATTATTAAGAACCATTGATTACCATAGTTTACAGTGTGAATGACAATCAACAATTAGAGTTCGTTGACTTAATTAGTTAACTCTAATAATCAGTTGATTGTTACAACTTAAAGGAAATACTAATTCAAAATGGACAATCTATTAGATAAATTGTCATAGTAATTATTATAACAATCAATTTTTTCCCGTTGATCTTAAATTGTCATTAAAGTTATCATTAATATAATGGTAAAGACAATTTAATCAACTGCTAACTATTTTCCTCTTAATTGACAATTTAATTTAATTTCTCAAGGATAAACTTAATCACATTTCATTCATGGTCAGACTGATTACTAAATTTAATCACCTTCTAATCACAGTGCATCATTTAATTGTTAATTGTTGATTCTAACGAATCAGTACTTAACCATTTTAAACGATGAAAATGATTCAACCGCTCTTAGTATTAACGTAACAATTAAATTATGTAAATTATGATTTTGGTTCAGTGTGAGTGGATTAATTTCAATCAATGAAACTTAATTTATTGATTTATTGCTTCATACAATTAAGGGAAAAGTTTAAATTACCATCAATGAGTAACACTTAATTGTTTCATGATTGTCATAGGTTTAAATCACTAAATAATCAACTCAACAAGGTTAATTCATTAAAGTTAATCGGTTGACAATTACCAAATCAACTAGTTGAGATAAATGGAGGTCATAAAAATGACCATTGCAATTAGTTGACCAGTAAGACAAACAATGAATGGCAATTTAAAATAATTAGTCGATATCGATGTGATTATGATTTGATTTTGATAATCATCTTGATTGTTCATACAAACTTGTGATGGTTTGATATTAAATCCAATTGATGATAATATAAATTGTAGTGATTTATGATTCAATGCAGCACTCATTTCAAATGCCGAGTAACTGGATTTAATGATTGTTGATTTCACCTTCGGTGATAAAAATTTACCATAAAGGTTAACACTAATTATGTTGAACATTGATTTTCGTGATTTATAAATTAAATTGCCACTTTCTGGGCTCATGATACATGATAAACTTTTAATTCCTTGATATTGTAATGGCTCCTCGATTATTACTCGTAACGGTAATGTCATTGTTTTATAAATATCCATTGGCGTCCGATTGGTAACATTGTAGTTAATTGCTCGGGATGCAAGATAATTAACTGATTTAATTGTCGACTTTGAAAACATTGATTTACATGTGACACCATCTAAGATTACAACTGAGTATTTGTGTTCAATTATATCATCAAATGAATTGAATTTGATATAGTTAATCGTTGATGTTAATCCAGTTTGAAGTGAGGCTGCGAAAATAGCACCAAATAGTAAAATGGTAACAATTAAGGTTAATCTAATTATTTTACTCGTTAATTTATCTTCAATTAATTTTCCATTGGTGTTTGGTGAAGACCCAAATCCAATATAATTCCAATACGAATCCAAATGACCACTTTTTGCAATTTTCAGGATTAAGATAATCAATATCATCAATGAGATTAATATGAGCCAGAAAATTGGTTGAAATTGGTTAATCAAATCAAAATATGATTTACTTGATAATGCAACAATTACTTTCGGCTTGTAGATAATATAACAACCGATTTCATCTGCAATCGGGCTAATTGTGAAGTTAATTGGCAAACTTGCTAGATAATGTAAACTATAAGCGGACACATAATCAATACGTCCTGATTGTAAATCACCCAAATCGCCAGTACAATGTCCATTTTGATCACAACCCGATCCGAATTTCGTATTGAAGAAGGTCAAATTAAATTTCGCAATTATATTGTAAGTTATTGCTTCGAAATAGGGTAAGATGAGCCCTTCCAATGAGCCTTCGGTCACATACAGAAAAGGCGGTGAACTGATCATTCCGAATTTCAGTTGTTCCATTTCGAACAATTAAATTCGATTTCTCTTCGATAATTGAACTTAATTTCAACGCAAACTATAAACAATTTGATTGTTCTGGTCATTATGTTATAAATATCTGATTTAACCTGCTAAATGATTGGAATCAATAAATTGATCAATATCATGTTGATAATTTAGTTGTTTTCAAATTTCGCAAAGGAAATGGTTGATTAATTATTGGCTCAATTCCTAGAAAAGTCAACAGGATAACGTTCATTAATTGTCAAAATAATTAACTGATTGAAATACTTTTAACTATTAAGACATTGATTGAATTAATTCAATGTACAAAAATTGATTGATACAAATGAATCAAACACCTCAACTAAATTAGTAACAATTTATGATTGGATTGATTTGAATAAATTGTAACTAAAGATGTCATTTCATTGAATTAGTGGAATTAATATTAAATCTTAATTGTTTGAATCTTTGTGTTTCTTTGATTGTATTCGAGAGTTGATGAGATCTATTGTCAATTCATATTTAATTGTATTAACTGTTTTGAATGAGAAACAATTAAATCTCATTGTTGAAGTTAATCTGGAAATACAATTCAAACTTTTTGGCTCCACTCCAATTGTTAAGTAAATCGTAGTCTAGTTGTATTAGATTGACATTTTTCATGAATGATTTGATTGTTTACTGAATTGTTGATCATTTAAATGATAATCTTTTCGTCATCTTATATTATTAGGTTTCTAAATTGGGATTAAAGTACGTGGCTCGAAAGGAGGATCTTTATCCGGGTTTCCTGAATTTCACTTGTACCGGATTAATACAATTAATTTATTCGGAGTCCACTCGAGATCTTGGACGTTTCTCGAGTTCTTTGACCATTAGACCGAGAGAAAAACTTCAAGATAAGGCTGAATACACACACGAAACTATGGACTATTCCGACGAATCTATTCCAGCCTCGGTTCGAGAGGAGGTTCGACCCGCTCCAGGATATCGTCCCGTCGGAACGAGACAGCAACACAAATCTTTATCATCTTCGCTAACTGGTAATCTGTTAATTTCTTAACTCACTTGACAATTATCCTAATTGTCCAAGGAAAGTAACAAAAGATAAATGATTAACAATTAATTCAATGTTATTATTTTCATTCTAATCACTGTAACTTGGTTTCCTTTTTTTTGCGTCTTTTTTTATATTTAATTGTAATATTTGATTGTAACTATTAATCAATTGTTGATTTGATTTCTCTGATGCTCAAATCGCCATTTCCAATAAAGCGCAATAACCAAATCGCGATTAGTTTCACTTTCTCCTTAGAAATTGGTAATTAAGTGTCCATTTTACTGGAATTCTAGTTGATTGTAAACAATTTGTTTTGAAGATTGTAAATAATTAGCTGATTGTTGATCAGTTACAATTGTGGAAACTTTTCCATCGAGATGATTAAGTAAACTGATCATCTGTTTGATGAAGCAATTAAACTTGAGAGGTTTTGATTATTTTCAATGAAAATTATTATTCTAATTCCGTTATTATGATTAAGGTGATAACCTTGATTGTAACAATTAAGGGAACAAAAATATATTTATTGACTACAATTAGATGTAAACATGAATATGATTTTAAATTGTTTGGACAGAATTGATTTCATACCAAACTTTTTACATTCGTATTTAAAAATTGTATTTTGATTGTTGATTAAATAGCGCTTTTATTTACAATGAAACCAAATTTTGATTAATCAATTATCGGGTATTTATAAATCAGTAAATTGTTAAGTGTTTTATGATTGATCAAAAAGGTTTCATGTTTGGTTGACACGTTGAACAATTAGGATTACAATTGTTTCATTTCGTGTCTTTTTTTGTTGATTAAGAAATCAGTTGATCATATTGATGAGAAATGGATGCTGATGATAATGATTAACTTAATTGTACGAAATATGGATGAAGAATACAGATCATTTTCAAAAGCGATTAAATCTTGACTTGAGTTACCATTTAGTCACTTAGGCGATGAGGTGATTTGATAGTAACAATTGACTTAGCGATTTAAGCAAGAACTCGAGGAGTGACCAACGTTTTGATTGAATGAGGGTCCATTCTAATTGGCACTGAAGCCTCAGCGAACTCATCAACAATTAAGTTAACGGGACTATCATTTGTATTTAGTATAACCATCACCATTTGATCGGCTGGATCAATGAAAGCCGCTGATAAGATGCCGGATGTATTTCCATACATTTCATGGTCGATATAAACTGATCCGGTTGGAATGAATTTTGAGAAGTGACCAAAAGAATAGAACATGGGATTACGATAGTATGTAGCCCGTTTAGCGTCAACTAAGATCAAACCATCAGTCCAGTTTTCGGCCCATGTTGGACCTCCTTTAGTATTTAGAACGAGATTCCAGTCTAACCAACCAGTTGACCACCTATGCAAGCCTTTGATTATATCGATGGCATAAGTTTCGGCTCGAGTCCAGTTACCAAGTTGAGCTAAATTGTGAAGAAGAGAAAATTGTAATCAGAAATGTGAACATTAAAAAGAAGTTGAATCGAGAGTGAAATTTACCTCTTTCGGCACTGAATCTTTCCCATCCTTCACAAGCTTCGGTCCCAAAAAGGAAATGGTTCTCGAAGTTATCATGAGCTCGTTCCAAGTTCTCGAAGAAATCTTCTTGTCCATGTCGATACCAATGGAAACCAATACCCGTCACGAAAGAAGCGGCCTCTTTATCACTAAGAACTGCTTCTGTATAATTGGGCATAAATTGTCGAGCCTCATCGTGAAGTAGTACATCTAATTTGTCTGTAGTGTAACCAGCATCTCGAAGAGTGGGTCCAAGGTCTAATTTGACGAAATCTCTCAACATCTCCGGTGTCATACCGAGACAATTAAAGAAAAAGTCTTCATTGATGATTGCGTTTGTAGGCTCATTTCCAGTGGTAATTGCCCAGAAATTAATTCCAGCCTTCTTGTAAGCTCAAGGAACCTGATAAGAGTAAAATATCACCATTAAAGTTAATGGAATTAAAAACAATTCAATCCACTTACTTGACATAGTATTTGGCCCATGCCTTGTAATATGGTCCACCGGGTACTCCTTTCAGGAAACCAGATCCTTTCACTTCCCCATTAGTTTTCATCCAAGCCGGAGGTGACCAAGCGCTGGCCAGAAGCTCAAGGCGACCTTCCTTCAACTCTAAGGCTCGTTTAATCATTGGAATCTATTAATATTTGGAATGAAAATAAAATAGTTTAATAAGTTGAAAAAGTTTTCGATTAGTAAGAAACTATTAGAATATCGGACTTACCTTCAATTGAATATCTTCAGGTTGAAGAGCGAAATAGTCGAGATTAAAATCACCATCATGATTATCGTCGTAGGTATAGATACGGTTTGAGAAGTCAGTTCCACCTATTGGAACTCTAGAAACAGAATAGTCGAGACCAGTTCGTGAGAAATAATCTACCATAATGTGGTCAGAAAGGTTCATCGGTAAATCGAGTAAATTGAAACCCGATGCATCGGTAAAAGCAGCACCGAAACCATGGATTGTTTGTCTTCGCTCCTCTGGAAGTAATCGAATTCGCAATAAGGATGGATCGATTTCTTCATAACCTTCTGTACTTCTCGGAAGATCTTTAGTTGATCTTACAGTTCGATGAAGACGATGTTCTGCTTGTGAAGATTCCCATTCGAAAATATAACCTTTAGGAGGTGGAGTTGCAGGTTCGATTGATCGACAATCAGTTAAATTACAAACACAAACAAAAGAATTTTGATCGAAATATTCTCGAACACAATTATCATCATCACCCAATACCAATGGAATCGATAATGTTATTGAGATGAAGATCGAAAGTATAATCTTATTGGTGAGTCGAAACATTTTCTTCGTTGTTGGTCAATTTCGATTTCTATTGAGAATAAAATAACAGTCAGAATGAAGTTCTAATTAAGATAATCACTTGATTAAAAAGTCGAAGATGATACAAATCAGTAGATGAAATAAAATACGAGAAAAATGATGGATGAAGATAATCACAGTCACAGACGAACCGATAAATTCATCAGAACAAGTTGGAATCACAACTCGATGTAAAGTTCAGTAGAGATGAGGATAAGTTTATATAGTGACAAAGGAAGAGTAGATCCATTTGAGAGAGAAAGATAAAGAGAGAAGAGAATAAAAAGAGGGAGTCAGTGAGAGAGAAAGGTAGGTGGGAAAAGAGAGTGAGAGAAGTGAGAGTAAAAGAAGGTGTAGTAAACTAAATTAGCGAAAAGTAGGAGAGAAAGATTTGATTATCGATATTATCATGCAACCCGATTGTTGACACACTCGATGATCAGAATTCATGAGCCAATGAAATGATGGAAACATTTTAAGCCCCGACAATTAACTGAGTCTATTGTGATGGGGGAGATGAGGGAGTTGGATGAATTCATGGAAAATGTAAATCCCCGCAATTTAATTGCTCTGGGTCACAATTAACACCATCATCATCATCATCGTTATGGTTTACCTGTTGATTGCATATTCCAACGTTCACTTGTCCACCACTCGAAAATTATTATCATTGTTATCAAATGTTTTGTTAGATTTTCATGTTCACAATTAATTTGATTTGATTTTTAAATTGATTGCAAACACCTTTGTAATTAACCTTGATGAGAAAATTTAATCACAACAATTTAGCCCAATCAATTTATGGACACTTAATTGTTGTCATTGTGATGTTTGTCTTTACCTGTTAATTTTCAACTCTTTTTTGTCTAAATTGTTGAATCTTTTAATAATCTTTTAAACTAATTAATATATCTTGGATTTAGATGATAAACTGATTAACAATTAAAGTGATTAATAGCCGATCACCTATCTACCTGAAGCAATTTGATTGTTAATCCTTAATTCAGTCACAATGAGCTGCTGTTTATTGATTGAATCAAATTCATTCAAAGTAAATTTCTTGCTTTCATCAACAATTAGAGTTAATTGTTTGAATGGATTTTTTTTTGTATGAGAAACAAAAACTTTGATTGTTGGTAAATTGTTGCTCAATTTTGATTTCTCACCAATCTACTTGAAGGAGGACCACAAACTCAATGACAATCAATGGTAAACAATTCAGACTGATTAACGTAACAATTTATATCGGAAAGTTTCTGGAAAAATTAACGATGACATAATGATTGTAATAATAATTAGCTAACTAAGATAGAAACTCAATTGGATTAACAATTAAGTACCGTAATTAATTTTGTATTGAACAAAATTTTCATGGTGAAAGTTTAACAAGTCAAACAATTAGACAAAATAACAAATATTCAACTGCCCCCTGATTATTTGATTGATCAACAATTAATCAATTGGCATTGATCAAGAAATTGTTCCTGATAACTTGAATTGAACTTTATCAATTAAATATTGATATTGTTAATCCAACAACGAGGATCAGATGATTAACAACAATTGAAGGTTACAAATTGAATTCAATGTTAATTAGCACATTGTTGATAACTTCCGTGATTAGTTAATTGATTGTCATCTAAAATTTACACTGATAGTGAATAATCAATGATCAACTTTAATTGTGATAAAGATGTTAATCAGTCAATTGTCTCAATGATTAGACTGCTAATTTTAATTAACTAATTGTATTTGCTAAATAAAAGTTTTCCCATTGATTGTTATCAATAACAGCAAAGATGAATGTAATTATGTTATAACAATTAAAAGATTAAAATTAATCAACGGCGATGACATTAATTAACATTAGATTAATTTTCTGGAATCTTCATCAGCAATTAAGCTGCCTAATCATAATGAATTAGCGATTCATGTTGATCATTTCCATTGGTACATCAGCAATTAAGAAATAATTAGAAAATAAATTGTTCAATCTTAAAACTATTAATAATTCCATAAAACTTTCTCAACAATTAATCAAAGATTAACTTAATCATCATGATCAGATAGGAGAAAATAATTTTCATATATTAATATTCATTTATCACCAAATTAGATTGAAAATTAAAGTTTAATTTAAACAGTGATTAGTTAATTTTGGATTGTTGCGGTTCTTTAATCATTTGGTTGAGTTTTTCCGTAGTTTAAATGATTCGCTGTGATTAACTGATTTATTTTAAGACTCTCATTTGGGTTAATAGATAAATACAATGGTCTAAATTGTGATATTTAATCATCGTGATCATTATGTAATTGTTACTATTTATTAACTTATTAAGATGCTGTCATTTCATCTCATGTAGTTAGTTAATTGTTGACAAGCTGATCTGATAATCAAGCGGACTATTTACTAACTACTCTTAGAGTTTTTCAAGTATCATCTCTAATTGTTATGATTAACTTGTCCATCTTGAGACAAAACTGATTAAGTTAAACAATCAACAAGAGTTAACTATCATTCTTGTTGCATGCGAACCCAATTAACTATTTACAATAAACTCCAATGGTCCTAACGGTATTTCAATCTAATTGCAACTCCTTTTTATGATAACAATCAAGTTAATCACTTCTTGATTCAGTTTGTTCCTAGTTAAAGGTTTCCACAATTTATTAATAGCAGCAATTAATTTCTAGTGTTTTATTTTAGGAATCAAGTAATCAACACATTGGCTCATTATACTTACCATCAATTTATAAATCAACCTGATTAACAATTAATAGTCAACCTAATTTGAAATCATTTTTTTACCTCGTCCAACAATTAGCTGATCAATTTATGATTAAATTGAGACTAATATGAAAATTATATTGTTACCATTTTTTAAATTATGTGCTAATTGATTAAAATTGGTTTGATTGTTGTTGTTTACTTTGGATTGGATTTTCAATTTAACCTCAATATTATTTTTTGGTTGATTGTAATTATTGTTACTTGATTAGAAACCTCCTTTAGCCTAATTGTTTGTGATTTAATTTATTGATTGCTCATCAATTTATTCATCACATTGGTTTGTTGATTAGATAAAAAGTTATTTCCTTGCGGGCAATTAAATAATCATGTTAATTGACAACTCGAAAAAAATACAACTTAATTACCATTTTGATCAACAATTAACAATGAGTAGTTAATGTGATTTCCAATGGTTTGCACTGAATCTATGATTAGTTCATGATAAATCATTAATTAAATTTGCTGCTCCTAATTGTGGTTAGACTGATTTTCAGCTAAATGATTAACACTTTCTGACCTTAACCCTGTTGTCAATGCTGTTAATTGTTGTTGTTTACTATTACAATTAGTTATTCAACCTAAAATCAACGTAATTATCAAATGGGAATTGAAAAAACCGGGAAGAACCAAATTAAATTGTTGATTGATGTACAAGGACGATAGTGACCTAGTGACTTTATCATCGACCTGCCCTTGTCCTCAATTGATTAATCACAATTAAATTACACATCAAGTTCAATTAATTAACCAGCCAATTTAATAGCACGAGAGTCTAATTTTCAATGAAAATTTACCTTTACTCATGCTGATCATTGAACACCAAACAAATCGACATCAGTCATATGACTGTATGATTAGTACCTTAATTGTTATCACTTAGTTACGTTGTTGGTTAATTGTAATCAACATTTCGTTGCCATTTGCTTCAATATTATCAGTAGGTTAATGATTGTATCCAAATTGTAACTTGATTTTCAATAATAGGAAAAACAAGTTTACAATTGTAATTTGATTGTGAATGTTAGATAATCACTATGGTCAATACATTATCGTAATTGTCCAAATTGTTAATTGGTTGATTGAATCAACAGAATAATTTTTTTTTCTAAAGACGTAAATGTGATTAATGAAAAGTTTTAATCGTTTACCTAAATTAAAACATTTGAAACATTATGAAACAATTTAAGACACAAAAGTAACTTTAACTGCCGTAATCAATTGTGATCGTAATTAAAATTTTTTAATGATTAATTAACATTTTGATGCGTCTCTGTAATTATATCCATTGAATAATAGAACTAAAAACTAATTATAATGGTGCTAATTAGTTGAATATTAATTAAAGTGTTAAACGTATAACAGTTAATAATAATTTCCTTGTTTGAGTGAAAATTTCACGAAAAAAATGACAATCAAATCAACTTCACTTCAATTTCCTTCCTCGAATATGATTAAATATAAAAGCAAATGATTAATGATTAATCAATAGAAAATCAGTTGATTATTTTGAATTAGTTATTTACAATCAATAAGTAAATAAAATCAACATCCTTTGGTAACTAATATCAGGATTTGATTTAATGAGTGGATATTAAATTGTTTGTTAACTGTCCGAATCAAATGTACAAAATTGCAACAACAATTTGATAGATTAGATAATCAAACTAAAGGGGAAAAAATAAATCAGTTGATAATTAACCATTTCTTAGAAGTTGATTAACGTTGATTTAGTTGATTATCTCAAGTGAGTTATTTTTATCAATCCTCAGAGTCTTTAGATTTCTCAAGATCGAAGGCACTGATTATTGATTTAATTTTTTTCTTATTCTTGCTCTTGTAAATTGTTCTGATTGATGATATTTCGGGTTCCGAATCACTAATTGAAATAATTGATTTTAAGGATGGAAACGATTTCACTCCGATATTGATTGAGTCCGATTTGAATTTCTTAGGCGATAGTAACATCCTTTTGGGTTGAACTTTAATAGATTCTGAAACAATTAAAAATGAATTGAAATAAATTAAACACAATGTAATCAAATTAATGATTTCTAATTAACTATTATAACTAATTACCTTTTGATTTTTTGAGTTCGACTTTAGGTTTATTCTTGATGACATTAACAGCTTGTAGTACAGTTTTCGCTTGATATTTTAGTTTGGGTTCCTCTTGAACGGTAATCGCTACAACTGAAATTAGATTTGTATTAGATTGTTGATTAGAAATTAGAATTGAATTAATCGTGGATTTACCTGGAGCAGCTGAAAGAGTGTCGACTGAAACACTGTGACCTGAACTTCCGCTTGCTAGGCTTCCACAGCCTCGAAATACTTTGGATGAATCTTCGTTAGTTAACAAATTAGCCGGTTGAACTTGTGTTAATGATTTGGGCCTTTGATTATTTCTGTAAAAAGTGAACAAATTGTTTAATCAATCGACGATTTTAATCAGTAATTATTAACCTGTGGATCTTGGCTTGGTTCGTGCAAAACTACATAACAGTAATAATACACTCGTTAAACTTGCCATTCCGATTATTGGGTATAAATGTAACCAATCATTAAGAAGCATTTTGATTAATAGTTTGACAATTATTTCATCTTCTTGTAATCAATTAGGATCAACAGAAATAATGATGAAATAATAATATTTCAATTAACTTATGGATTGAAACTGATTGAAATAAGTTGATGAAAAATGATTTTTAGCTTTAAATGGATTCTAGTTTTTGTAGAATCGCTAATGTTTAGTTGTGTCTTAATTGTAAAAGGAGAGGAAAATCAAATTAAGGTTATAGTTATTGCAGATTCTTACAGTGATTGATTGATTGATTTGCTTTCTCCACATTCGAGTCCATTTTTCGTGAGCTGAGGCTAATTTATTAACTGTTTTGAATGAGTTACTTTGTTCAGTTTTATCGATTTATTCAACAATAAATTGGTTCGTTCTCTCTCTAACTTTTCTCTATGTAAACGTTCAGCTCTCAGAGCTTCGAGTTTAGCCCGTTTTTCAATCTCTTCATTGTCGTCGGAAGATGAACTTTCATCGGAAAAAGATGAGTCCGATTCTGATTGAGGTGAAGATCGTGATTTTTTAGATGATCTTTTTTGTCGACTCTTATGTTTCTTATGTTTGCTTCTCTTTGACTTTTTTTCCTTCTTGATTTTCCGCTGGGGTGTTACTACTTCTTCTTTGACCTTAGTACTGACCATTGGAGTAAATGGAATAACCTGAAAGAAATTATGCATTAAAAGGTTAATCAAAGTTAATTAATCTATTTACGGATGAAACTGGAGATGTAATGAGTTGAACTGGATTCAATTTAGTAATAGTTTTTTAATTGTGAGATGGAACTAACGATCGTGGGCTAGTTGATTAAAATACTTACTTTAGGTGGAGGTATGGATGACTTTTCCTTAGCTTTCTTCATTGCTGCTAAGTGTTTTTCGATACCAATTAAAGGGTCGTGTTTAAGGAGGCTCTTTGGTTTATCTGATCTCGAGGTCGAAGGATCATCTTCTTTAATGTTCATTCGTGTGTTATGATCTAACAGGTACCATGGATTGTCCTCATCACATCCTTGACCGAGGTAAGTCAAAATTCCAACTTTTTTCTCCCAATCCTCTTTATCCTTTTTCACTTCTTTTTCATGGTCAATATTCTGTCGATCTTCTCCAACTGCTGAAGGCTCTTTTCCATCCAAAATGGCCGCGATCGTAGAAATAGTAGCATCATCATTAGTCGATGAATTACCTGAACGGGCTTTGGCTCTTAGAAGATTAACTCTGGCCTCACTTTCAGCGGTTAATTTCCTCTTCTCTTTGGCTTCTTCTTCTTCTCTTGCTTTTTTCTCCGCTGCTCTGACCTTGGCGATATTATTCTTATTCCGAACATGCCAACTTTTATGGTGTAAGATATTCATTTAGAAAATATTTAGAGTCAAACAAATCAAAACACAACCAATCAAGTCACAAATTAGCTCATTGAAACCTAAAGAAAAAAACAAAAGCCAATTTGAATGAAGAAACAGTCGACGAGCACAAAACTTACCTTAGTCTAAGGTTAATAAATTATCGAAAGATCAAGCCCAAAATTATGACACTTAGCAATTAAAGCAAGTACAATTTAAATCAAAGACTCAAAAATAATAAGACAGAAATGTAAACACTAATCATAAGGAAGGTATTTGTGCTGCTATCTGGTTATCTTTTTGGAAAGTCGATCTTTTTAAATTAAAATTGATTATTGAAGTTTTGCTAATTAAATCAAATAATTTAATTGTCTAATATTTTGTACGTAGTAGAATGAACGGACTAGTAACTAGTTGATGAACTGAAATTTTCGCAAGTTATTGCATCGAAATTCGTCACAATTAAACCGATAAATTGCTCATCTTTTCATTCGTGATCCAATTACCTTGTACCGAGAGAAAATTGACCAAGATGATGAAAAGGAAATGGATCATTTCGAGAATATTCAATCGACTAATTGGCAAACAATGAGATTCAAACCCCCACCACCATCGGCTCCTGGAATCGGGTGGAGGGTTGAATTTCGTCCAATGGAAGTTCAAATAACAGAATTAAAAAAGTATTGTTTTCTTTTTGAGGAAATTTTGAGTAGCTTGAGTTTAACCTTAATGTCTTGATTTCTTCTAATCCAGGCAATTATTTCGTGACCTCTAAACACCATGACTTCAAATACCTTTAAGGTAATAAAATAAACGGGTAAGATGCTAGTAGAGGGACTGAACTCACTTTCTAGTGAGGAATAAATATTTTCGCAAGTTATCAAAACCAAATTCATCGCAATTAAACCGATTGAGTAAAAATTTTGTCAGAATTTTGAAAAATTTAATCAATTCAGTAAATATTGGATCCTGTTCCAAGAGAATGAGAAATTTATCAACCGATTTAATCGGTTGATTATTTTGAAATTATTCCATTTAGGTGATTTATCCATTGCGATCTCTTAATGGTTATACTAAAATCCAGAAGAAGAATTAAAGATCTTCTTGGTTTTAATAACCAATTCCAACTTTAGTATTAAGCCAATCGTTGGTCAACAAAACACTGACCAGAGCATCGCCGAGATCAAATTTAGAAATGACCGCTCCAACTCGTTCTTCCTTTTTAAGTACGTACTGTTTATCACTTGGATTATCTAAATCGATTAATGAGAAATTAGTGTTTCCATTCAATTCAATAAGTTTGATTAAACTCACTATCAATATGAGGTGGACAGAGTACAACCCAATCGAGTCCAGAATTTTTCAGATAATCCAACATTTTCAAATGATCTCCATGAACATTTCTCATGGTGGGAGGAATTTTCTCAGGTTCCCAATAAAGAAAAGCTTTATAAAAATATAACAGAAAATCAGAGAAAAAAGAAACAAATACATTACATTTACACTTAACTCCATGTGATTAATGAACTTACATGAGAGACAAGCTGAGACTCGATTGACACCATGATTTTTCATCGAGTCAATAATGTTCTTGGTTCCATCGGACATAATAGTCGAAGGTCCTAAATCATTTCGTGTTCCCAAAACAATGACCACACCATCTTGACCTGCAATCGCTTTGTCAACATCAGAGGGATTGGTAACATCACCAGAGATCACTTGAGACACTTTGAGGTCACCAGATAATTTACTTGGATCACGGACAAAAGCGGTCACTTCCAAGCCTGGAAAATCACGTTGCAAGTAAAGGTCAAAATCAAAATAACAAAATAAAACAATTAAATCAAATCACTTTAAAAAAAAACAATCAAACAAAAGGAGAAAACAACAAACCCTTTTCAATGGCTTTCGCTACTGTTGCTAATCCGGTGTTTCCAGTAGCTCCAAAGATGACGATCTTTCTGATTGGTGACATTTTAGAAACACACAGTTCAATAGATAATTGACTCTATCGGAAATCAGAATTTAATTAACTGTAGAATTATTCAATTCAAAATGGAAGCCCAGAAGTTGAATGATAAAAAGAATGAGAATCAAATTGATCAACTGAATGTCCTTGAGAGAAAACAAGTTTACCAACAAAGGAATAGACATTCAACAAGCTTCCATTTGATTCACAGAAAAAGGGAAAGGGATCGATAGAGAAACAAAAAATTCTTGTTGTCTTGATGCTGTCGGTGTTGTGGTTAAAGCTCATGATGGTTTGGTGAAAGATCATCTTGGTGTTTGGGAAATATAAATGTTCATGTAATGGTTTTAATGTTGTATTGTGATTCCTTGAAGAGTGAAAAAAACACAAAGAAAGAAAAAAACGATTAATAAAATTCACAGACATAAAAACTGATTATTGAGAAAATGCGAATAAATTGTAACTTGTGTATTAAAATGTAAAAAGTGTAAGAAGTTAATTGAGAAAAGGTGAGAACCTCCACCTTGGTAAACATGAATATGATTTTAAATTGTTTGGAAGAATTGATTTCATACCAAACTTTTTTATATTCGTATTTAAAAATTGTGTTATTTTGATAAATAAATAGTTTTTTATTTACAATGAAACCAAATTTTGATATATCAATTATCGGGTATTTATAAAGCAGTAAATTGTTAAGTGTTTTATGATTGATCAAAAAGGTTTGGTTCAAATCATGGATGAAGAATACAGATCGTTTTCAAAAGCGATTAAATCTTGACTTGAGTTACCATTTAGTCACTTAGGCGATGAGGTGATTTGATAGTAACAATTGACTTAGCGAACTTGGACTTAGAAGTTGTAAGAAGGAACTCGCGGAGTGACCAACGTTTTGATTGAATGAGGGTCCATTCTGATTGGTACTGTAGCCTCAGCGAACTCATCAACAATTAAGTTAACGGGATTGTCATTTGTGTTTAGTATAACCATCACCATTTGATCGGCTGGATCAATGAAAGCCGCTGATAAGATGCCGGTTGTACAGCCATACATTTCATGGTCGATATAAACTGATCCGGTTGGAATGAATTTCGAGAAGTGACCAAAAGAATAGAACATGGGATTACGATAGTATGTAGCCCGTTTAGCGTCGACTAAGATCAAACCATCAGTCCAGTTTTCGGCCCATGTTGGACCTCCTTTAGTATTTAGAACGAGATTCCAGTCTAACCAATTGTTGACCTATGCAAGCCTTTGATTATATCGATGGCATAAGTTTCGGCTCAGTCCAGTTACCAAGTTGAGCTAAATTATGAAGGAGAGAAATTGTAATCAAGTGTGAACATTAAAAGAATCGAGTGAAATTTACCTCTTTCGGCACTGAATCTTTCATATCCTTCACAAGCTTCTGTCCCGAAAAGGAAATGGTTCTCGAAGTTATAATGAGCTCGTTCCAAGTTCTCGAAGAAATCTTCTTGTCCATTTCGATACCAATGGAAACCAATACCCGTCACGAAAGAAGCGGCCTCTCTATCACTAAGAACTGCTTCTGTATAATTAGGCAGAAATTCTCGAATCTCATCATGAAGTAGCACATCTAATTTGTCTGTAGTGTAACCAGCATCTCGAAGAGTGGGTCCAAGGTCTAATTTGACGAAATCTCTCAACATCTTCGGTGTCATACCGAGACAATTAAAGAAAAAGTCTTCATTGCGGATTGCGTTTGTAGGCTCATTTCCAGTGGTAATTGCCCAGAAATTAATTCCAGCCTTCTTGTAAGCTTCAAGGAACCTGATAAGAGTAAAATATCACCATTAAAGTTAATGGAATAAAAAAACAATTCAATCCACTTACTTGACATAGTATTTGGCCCATGCCTATGTGTCCTGGTACTCCTTTCAGAAACCAGATCCTTTCACTTCCCCATTAGTTTTCATCCAAGCCGGAGGTGACCAAGCGCTGGCCAGAAGCTCAAGGCGACCTTCTTTCAACTCTAAGGCTCGTTTAATCATTGGAATCTATTAATATTTGGAATGAAAATAAAATTGTTTAATAAATTGAAAAAGTTTTCGATTAGTAAGAAACTATTAGAATATCGAACTTACCTTCAATTGAATATCTTCAGGTTGAAGAGCGAAATAGTCGAGATTAAAATCACCATCATGATTATCGTCGTAGGTATAGATACGGTTTGAGAAGTCAGTTCCACCAATTGGAACTCTAGAAACAGAATAGTCGAGACCAGTTCGTGAGAAATAATCTACCATAATGTGGTCAGCCAGTTTCATCGGTAAATCGAGTAAATTGAAACCCGATGCATCGGTAAAAGCAGCACCGAAACCATGGATTGTTTGTCTTCGCTCCTCTGGAAGTAATCGAATTCGCAATAAGGATGGCCCGATTTCTTCATAACCTTCTGTACTTCTCGGAAGATCTTTAGTTGATCTTACAGTTCGATGGAGACGATGCTCTGCCTGTGAAGATTCCCATTCGAAAATATAACCTTTAGGAGGTGGAGTTGCAGGTTCGATTGATCGACAATCAGTTAAACTACAAACACAAACAAAAGAATTTTGATCGAAATATTCTCGAACGCAATCATCATCATCTCCCAATACCAATGGAATCGATAATGTTATTGAGATGAAGATCGAAAGTATAATCTTATTGGTGAGTCGAAACATTTTCTTCGTTGTTGGTCAATCTCGATTTCTATTGAGAATAAAATAACAGTCAGAATGAAGTTCGTATTAAGATAATCACTTAACTAAAAAGTCGAAGATGATACAAATCAGTAGATGAAATAAAATACGAGAAAAATGATGGATGAAGATAATCACAGTCACAGACGAACCGATAAATTCATCAGAACAAGTTGGAATCACAACTCGATGTAAAGTTCAGTAGAGATGAGGATAAGTTCATATTGTGACAAAGGAAAAGTAGATCCATTTGAGAGAGAAGAGAATAAAAAAGAGGGAGTCAGTGAGAGAGAAAGGTAGGCGGGAAAAGAGAGTGAGAAAAGTGAGAGTAAATGAAGGTGTAGGAAACATAATTAGCGAAAAGTAGGAAAGAGAAAGATTTGATTATGAAATGTTTGTTTTTATTTGTTGGTTTTCAACTCTTTTTTAGTCTTAACTGTTTAATCCTTTAATAATCTTTTGAACTGATTAATATACCTTGGATTTAAACGATAAACTGATTAATAATCAAATTGATTAATTATCGATCGCTCATCTACCTGAAGCAATTTGATGGTTGATCGTCAATTCAGTCCCTGCTGTCTATTGGTTGAATCAAATTCACTCAAAGTAATTTTTTGGTTTTCTCAGTAACTTTCGCCGAGTTCTCAACTAATTAGTCGAGTTCCCATTTGGTTTCGTCAATCCGACAGAGGGCAGAGTTTTTTTCAATTAGTTCTCAGTGAGTTTCGCAGATTCTCAAATCATTTAGTCAAGTTCTCGATACAATTAGTCAATTCGCTTTTACATTGAGTAGAAAATTAAACTTTTTGATTAAAATTCATTTTTTAATTTTTTCTTTGAATTTTTATTGCTCAAGACTTGATCAGTTTTCGATTCTTCTTATCCCTTTTCTTAGATCTTTTTGCCATTTTCAAATGTGAATCGTATTCGAAAATTGATCAAAACTCAACAATAATAACATAAAAATTTGAGCAATTATTCAATGAAAATTTAAAGAAAAAATTAAAAAATGAATTATAATCAAAAAGTTTAATTTTCTACTCAATGTCAAATCTACTTGAAGGAGGACCAGAAACTCAATGACAATCAATGGTAAACAATTCAGACTGATTAACGTAACAATTTATATCGGAAAGTTTCTGGAAAAATTAACGATGACATAATGATTGTAATAATAATTAACTAACTAAGATAGGAACTCAATTGGATTAACAATTAAGTACCATAATTAATTTTGTATTGAACAAAAATTTTCATGGTGAAAGTTTAACAAGTCAAACAATTAGACAAAATAACAAATATTCAACTGTGTTGGTTTAATTGAGATCTTCACATTGACACAATTTAACTAAATTAGTAATAATTTACTCTTCTCACAATCGCGGTGAGGATTCAGCAGTTAAACGCGCAGTCAAAACAAAAATGAGTAAGGTAACTTATCGGTGGTGTTGTCAGTAACTTAGTGTGTAAATTTATTGTAAAGAGTTTCGTTTAAATAGAGAAAAGAAAAGATGTCCAAAATTGGTCACTTTCGTGTTATTGGTCGACTCATAATTAGTGGCAGTTGAAGTGACCTGGAAGCGATCAATGGACTCAGGATTATCAAGCTCATTAAGGACAATAAAAATAAAGAAGAAAAGAAGGATTAACTCGGGACGAAGAGGTTGGAGCACAAAGAGAAGCGAGAATTGGATGGTCGCAATGGACGAGGCAAGGAGGACAAGTGACCATCATATGGATACCATTCAAAGGATTACAATGGAGCTTAAACAATTATAATCAAGATGAGAAGAGTGAAAAGCCAGGGAAAGAGATGAAAAGATGAAAAGATGAAATTGGTAAATTAAGGTAATTGGTCCAAACGTTTGTGTCCATATCTCAGTAAGTAATTTACTTAGAGTTTTAATTTATATATATTTAGATTGCTTAATCAAGGTCTTTCTAATGATATATAACTTTCGTGTGAATATAAACTAATTCACTAAAATTAGTGTCGGTCCCAATGGTTCACTTGGACCAGAAAAATGGGTAAAAAATTAATGTTTTTAGTTAATTGCTGCTCAACCAATTTACCGATTAATTTGGTTTATATATTAATCGAACCTACTAAACAAGACCTTTGATTTAGTATAAAACAATCTAACTGTTAATTGTTGTTAATCAAAAAGTTGACCGATTTCAATGAATCTCAATGTTAACTCTATGGGGAAAACCAGATATGTTGTTGTTGTTTCCCAATGGGACTAAAGTTGTAGTCGCGGCTTCTTTAGTAGTAGAATCATGAACTGAACTCGAGCTAATGATTGATTCAAACCAACACCTTCCCTTGCTCCAATCTCGGGTTAATCAATATTAAGGTA